CTCTCTCTCTCTCTGCCAGGTTTAAAGACACAATGGTCAATGCCATTGGCCACAGAGCCACGGACCGGTCCATCCAGCTGGGACTCCTATACCCTGCCGCTGATGCCCTCAAAATTGGCATCGTGGATGAGTTGGCGCCCGAAGAGAATATCCAGAAGGTGGCTGCAGAGGTGATGACCCAGTGGCTGGCCGTTCCAGGTGAGGCAGCCCACTCCCAGAATCCTGCACCACAAATACACATTCCAAAACAAATAACGTCCTATAGTGGGGAAGGTTTCCTTGGTAAGAGGCCAACCCTGCTTTAACTACTATACCATACTGCCTCATACCCTAGTGGTGAAAGAAAGGTCTGTTGGCAGTAATTAAGGGAATTGGCAGCAAGGTGGGAGGGTTGGCTTAAAGCAGGCTCCAGGAAGAAAGGCTTCAGATCACATGGGTCAGGAGAAGGTCATCAATAACTTGCAAGATATCAGTAAACTTAATTCTTTATTCAAATGAACAAAACGCCTCAGGCCTAGTGAGCACAAAACCTCTTCCCAGTAGGGTTTCCCAGTTGTGGGAACTGAAAAGTCCCTTCTCTCCAAGCCTCCTCCTTCCCAAGCAATCTGAGACTCAACACCTTGTCTGTCTCTGCTCTTCCCTCTTTATACCTCTTCAGGTTCTGGGAGACCAGCGGGGAGGGGAGCTGGTCGCAGCAGGAGGGGAAGACCCCCTGGCATCTTCAACAGCCTGCCTGATCTCTGCCTCTTGGCCCTGCACCTCTCTAGCCTCTGCTTCTGGGCCTCTCTCTGGCACAGCCTCTTCCTGCTCACTAAACCCTGTTACCTTTTCAGCTTCTGACACTCCTCCTTCCAGTCTCTCCCCCCCCCCCCATCATCGTCCCACCAGCACTGCCCAGGCTCTAAGTCTTCTTCCCTTATGGGTTCCTTTTGGGGGTTCCCCAGCTGGTGCCTCCCACCCAGGGGAGTCTTTAGCATATGCGCCGCCGGGGTGCAAAGATCCACCCAGCACCCCCAAGTCTGACAAGCGGCGCCATTGTGAATGACAAGCGCCACCGTTGGTGCAGCGCGTCTTTGGTAGATGAGCGCACAAAGTCGAAAGCCCTTTAGTGAAACAGTAGGTATACATTTCAGTATTACCTATATGTGGAGTGGTACTTCTGGATGCAAACGGGATCCATTCCGGAGCCCCGTTCACATCCAGAAGCGAACATGGGTCGCGATTCGCCACTTCTGCGCATATGCGTGATGTCATTTTGACCGTCTGCGCATGCGCGACCGGTAAAACCCGGAAGTAACGTGCTCCGTTACTTCCGGGTCGCCGCAGTGCGCAACCTGAAAATAATTATCCTGAAGCTACTTCAACCCGAGGCATGACTATTTTGTTTTTCTAGCTTGATCAAAATTATTTATTATTTCATAACAGGTAGATAATTAAGAGCTTAGGCGGCTTCAGTGGCAGGCACCTGGCGCCTCCCAGACATCGGCGCCCAGGTGCCCCGCACCCCTTGCACCCTCGGGTAAAGACGGTCCTGTTCCCAGCAGTCCTATGCGTCCATGACACTGGGCCGCAATTCAACATGCGCTCTCTCTTCCTCTTCTTGCTGCCCAGACCATGCCCGCCAACTCTCCAAATCCTTGATGCGGAAGCCCACAGTGGACCACCTCCTGGCGCACCGTGAAGCCGACATCCAGAACTTTGTGCGCTTCATCTCCAGGGACTCCATCCAGAAATCCCTCCAGATGTACATGCAGATGCTGAAGCAGAAGAAAGCCTGACCTGGGAGCGGAGCAGCCGTGACCTCATCACTGTTTATCTCAAGCGCCTTTGTTTCCCAGCTGGTGCCTTTTGCACAAAGTTTTGCTCTCGAGGTTTTTTCCTTTGGGCGCTGGATCTCGGGTTGTGGGCAAGTAAGGCCCGTTCTGCAAGGGGCACATTAGGCCACAGGCTCGCTCTTCGGGCACTTGGGAAGAATCAGTTTTGCGCAAAATGTGAAGGGTCAATAAATCACTAAAAGAGAGGCTGTGGTTGGTCTCTTCCTAAGTGCAGCCATAGGCTTAGGGACAGGGTTGAGTGCTTTTGGCCCTGCAGATGCCGCTGAACTACAGATCCCATCAAACCATCCTGTTGGCTATTCTGGATGGGGATGATGGGAGTTGTAGTCCAGAAGCAGCTGGAAGGCTACTAGGTGCCCCAGCCCTGACTTGTGCAACACCTCTGGATCTTCTTGCTGCTGCATGGAATAACACACGTACCATACCTTTGTATTTAGTAAGTAAACTACAGTGGTGCCTCGCAAGACGAAATTAATTCGTTCCGCAAGTCTCTTCGTCTTGCGAGTTTTTCATCTTGCGATGCATGGTTTCCCATAGGAATGCATTGAAAATCAATTAATGCGTTCCTATGGAAACCGCCTTCAGACCAGGTCCGGGGACAGTCTGTCCCCCGACCTCTTCTGAAGGCTGGGGGGGGGGGACAAGGGCTTTTCTTCCCACCCCCAGCATTTTAAAAAACCCCGGGACAGCGGAGGACTTCTCCGCTGTCCGGGGCGATCTTAAAATGCTGGTGGGCGGCATTTTAAAATCGCCCGGGACAGCGGAGGACTTCTCCGCTGTCCGGGGTGATTTAAAAGCCCCTGGGAAGGCAGGCAGGGGGGACAAAGACTTTTGCCCCCCGCCTGCCTTCAAAAGCTGTCCTGGACAGGCTTCGCGGACCTCTCGCTGCTTGCGGACAGTTGCCAGCATGCCGAAGCCTGCACGCGCTGAGATCAGCGCGCCCAAGCTTCGCGGCCCCGCCGCCCAGCTTCGGAGCATCGTTCCGAAGCCGGGCGGCGGGAGGAGGCGTTCCCTCCCCGCCGCCCAGCTTCGGAGCATCGTTCCGAAGCCGGGCGGCGGGAGGAGGCGTTCCCGCCCCGCCGCCCGGGCTTCGGAGCATCGTTCCGAAGCCGGGCGGCGGCGGGAGGCGTTCCCGCCCCGCTTCGGAGCATCGTTCCGAAGCCGGGCGGCGGCGGGAGGCGTTCCCGCCCCGCCGCCCGGCTTCGGAGGAGCCTTCCGAAGCCCGGCGGCGGCGGGAGAAGGTGTCCCCGCCCCGCCGCCAGGCTTCGGAGGGGGTCCGAGGACAGCGGGGAAGACGCGCTGCGCTTCCCCGCTGTCCCGGAGATTTCCCTATGGGCTGTCGTCTTGCAAAGCAAGCCCATAGGGAAATTCGTTTTGCGAAGCGCCTCCAAAACGGAAAACCCTTTCGTCTAGCGGGTTTTCCGTCTTGCGAGGCGTTCGTCTTGCGGGGCACCACTGTATTTTAAACTTACTTAACAGGGTCTGTGGAGTCAAAAGTGGTGATTATGCCTTAAAAACAGGAGACTGGGCATCGTTTATTTTATTTATTATCATGCATCCATGGTCAGGACAGTTAAAAGAAAGTACTTCTTCACATAGCACATAGTTAAACTATGGAACTCCCAAAGGAGGCAGTGATGGACACCAACTTGGGCGGCTAGACTGGACAAATTAATAGAGGAGGAGATGATCAGTGGCTAGTAGCCATGATGAATATTCTCTGCTTCCACAGCTGGAGGCAGCAGTACTTCTGAATACCAGTTGCTGGAAACCACAGGAGGGGAGAGGGCTCTTGTGCTTGGGGCATCTGGTTGGCCAAGGTGAGGAGAAGAAGATGCTAGATCAGAGGGGCCATTGGTCTGATCCAGCAGACTCTCCTTGTGTACTTACGGTTCCCCCCTCCCTTTTATCACAACCAGCACATGAGGTAGGTTAGTCCCAAAGTCATCCAGAGCTTGATGCCTCCCCAATCCAGTGTGCTAAGTGGGAGTAGCCTGTGGCCTACCAAAAGTTGCTTAGCCAGTGGTCAGAGGTGATGGGGAGCTGTAGTCCAGCAAGGGACATTGACCAATAATCTGCCTTCTACTAAGGCAGGTACCTCTCTAGGTCAGAATGGTCTGCATCAGCTGGTAGGAGTTCTCTGTGATTTCAGCTAAGAAGGTTCTCCCAGCCCAACCTGGAGACACCAGGGATCAAACCTGAGACCTTCTGTATGCAAAGCAGATGAGCTACAGCCCTGTCCCCCTAAGCCATGTCTGGAGACCCACAGGTTTCCCCTCCCTCTCACTGCAACCCACTGAATCTCTCGAAGGCCTTTTGGTGCCCTCCAACTCAGCTCGGGTGGAATACAACACAGGTGGACAATGTCACATAAGTCAATTGGTCTGCAGAAGAACAGAAGGTTCCAGGTTCCATCCCTGGCAGCAACAACTCTAGCAAAAACAAGACCTGGAGGACCTGCAGATAATGTTGGACTCCAGTTATCATCTTCCTCATCTGCTGGCTAAGAGCTGGTGGGCACTGGGAGTCTAGCAACATCAGGAGAGTCACAGGTTCTCCCACCTGTCAGCCACAAAGATCTCAAGGGAAGAGGCTCTCCTTTGCCTAAGAGCTCAGGAAGCAGCTAAGTACCTGTCAGGGACTGGGCAGAGGAGGAAATGACCAGCCTGACCCTTCTAGAGAAGAAGACTGGGGTTTGAGGGAGGTCACAGCTCAGAGGCAGATGAGGGGGAAAGCTGGGAAATAATGGGAGAGGAGGAGGAGGAAGAGGAACCACCAGGAGGGCAACAGCTGACGGACGCAGTGTCTTAAGAAAGCATTCCAGAACCCCCTTCTCCCAGAACACGGCGAGCCTTGAAAGTAGGAGAGCAAAGGGCTCGGAAGCAAATGGCCCTCAGCACCACCCGTGGAAGAGATGATGAATGAGGAAGTGGGAGGAAAAAGGGGGTGGAGAGTCACTCAGGACAACGCCATTATTCTGAGAGGCTGCGTTCCAAGCCCCTCTCTGTAAATATTGAATGAAAGCAGATGGTAAGCACTTTTCCTTGTCTGATCCATTCCTGGCAACCTGCCTTAGGGGTTGTTTCCTCTGCTGGCTGACACTACCAAACAGAAGAGGCAATACTGGTCTGGATAGACCACAGGTCCATCAAGGCAGCTTTGTACGTCTGCGAGTGAACACGTAACTGTGGTGTGAGAAGACCCAGGGGTGGCCGGGACCCCTTTTCCGGCACAGGGTGTCAAAGCAAGGCTGCGAGGTCGCACGGAGCTTCAGCGAGATTTCAGCGTCACCTCCACCGGGAAATGGTCGCTGATGGCCAGAGCCTGCATGGGAGGAGAGAAAACAGGGAAGCTCAGAGCATCTCTTGTTGCCAAAGCCAGAACACATTGTTTTCCCAGCATGCACTGCGAGCCTCAAGAAACCCTGTTTGGACCAAGGGTTTAAACACTGAATGTGATTTACCTCCTCTTGGCTCAGCTTGAAGGCGCTCTGGAAGTCAAACACTTGGGCTGACTTGGGATCGATCCACTTCCTCAGCTTTGAACCACTCACGACAATCCTAGGACACCAAAGGAAAGAAATGGAGTGGTCCTCCCATTTTTGGGGGAGCTGAGGCTGCCCAGGGTCCCTTGCTCTGGGGTCATCAACCGCCTTTCGATGCTGAGTGTTCCTTCCAAGAGTGGGAAAGGAGGGAAGAGAAGGAGGAGGAGAAAGAGGAGAGGTGGCTTGTTGTGGCAGCTGGGAAGCCTCAGTGGGCCAGTTGTGGCTCTTGGTCAAGAGCCCTTAAGGTAATGTCGCAGACCATTAGGTCCAGTCGCAGGTCCAGTTACAGACGACTCTGGGATTGCGGCGCTCATCTCGCTTTACTGGCCGAGGGAGCCGGCGTACAGCTTCCAGGTCATGTGGCCAGCATGACTAAGCCACTTTGGCAAACCAGAGCAACACACGGAAATGCTGTTTACCTTCCCGCTGGAGTGGTACCTATTTATCTACTTGCACTTCGTGCTTTCGAACTGCTAGGTTGGCAGGAGCTTGGACAGAGCAACAGGAGCTCACCCCGTTGCAGGGATTCGAACCGCCAACCTTCTGATCAGCAAGCCCTAGGCTCTGTGGTTTAACCCACAGCTCCACCCGCGTCAGGAGCCCTACTGGGGTCTAAAGATCTAGCACTGCTTGGCGGTTTCGCCAACCTCACCTGTCATAGGCGCAATTGGAGTTGCCCACGGTGGTGTCTACAGAGTCTGGGATGAGCCACTTGAAAACCTCGCTGGTGCGCAGGCGGATGGAGGACCAGGCGTTCTTTCCCACGTAACTGCAGTCAGCATTGAAGTCTCCCAGGAACATCATGTTCTACAAAGGGAAGAAGATTTGCTGCTGGGAATCGCAGGTGGGGAGAGAGCATGGTTGCACTCGGATCCTGACCGTAGGCTTCTCCACAAGGACCTGGTGGGCCACTGTGGGAACAGAGTTCTGGCTAGGTGGGCCATTGGCCTGATCCAGCAGGGGCCTTCTTATATTCTGAAGGTGGGTCTAATGTCCTGTCTCCAACAGTGGTCAGCAAGGTGTGGGATGGGTGGAACAGAACATCCTGTTCAAGGGGCTTGGCTCAGGGGTAGAGCATCTGCTTTGCAGAGGTCCTTGATTCAATCCCTGGCATAATAATAATAATAATAATAATAATAATAATAATAATAATTTATTATTTATACCCCGCCCATCTGGCTGGGTACCCCCAGCCACTCTGGGCAGCTTCCAACAGAATATTAAAATACAATAACATATTAAACATTAAAAGCTTCCCTAAAGAGGGCTGCCTTCAGATGTCTTCTAAAAGTCTGGTAGTTGTTTTTCTCTTTGACATCTGGTGGGAGGGCGTTCCACAGGGTGGGTGCCACTACCGAGAAGGCCCTCTGCCTGGTTCCCTGTAACTTGGCTTCTCGCAGTGAGGGAACCGCCAGAAGGCCCTCGGAGCTGGACCTCAGTGTCTGGGCAGAACGATGGGGGTGGAGACGCTCCTTCAGGTATACTGGGCCGAGGCCGCATCTCCAAAACAGAGATGGGAATGTATCCCATCTGAAACCCCAGACCAGGGTGGTTCAACCTGTGGCCACAAGTCCTTCTTTTCAGAAAACATTCAACAAAAAGCATCTTAACTGTTAACAAAAGCACGTACATCCGTCCCCCACTTGTCAATGATCTTCAAGTAGACATCATAGAGGGCATCAATCTCTGCCACGGCGTCATTTGGAGCTGTGTGGAGGGGAATCAGGACCAGCTCGTCGTCTTCTGCAAAAGAACCGGGGTTAGCACAGGGAGCCCTTTCATTCCCTTGCGGGACTCAGGTGCCAGGAATGTTCTCCAGAGCATTGGCGTGTGGTCAGTGGACTAGGGGAACTAGGGTAGCCCCCTAAATTTTCCCTTGTCACCCTCTTCCCAAAGCCCAGGAAGCTTCTGCCCAGCTTAGGGAGGGAGGTGTGATGCATGTGTGACTTGTGATGTCATGCGCATGATGTAGCCCCCCCCCCAATCGCCCTCGCACTGTTCCCCCAGGAAAAAAATCACTGCACGCCACTGCTCCAAAGGCACATAGGCAAGACCACTGACTTCAAGGCTTTTCTAGAGGGGCAGGATTTGCCAATCCTGAACCCCTTGCTATCCCATCATCATCATTTATGATTTGTATGCCGCCTGTCTGACTGAGTTGCCGCAGCTGCTCTGGGAAGCTTCCAAGAAAATATTAAAAACACAATAAAACATCACACACTAAAAACGTCCCTAAACAGGGCTGACTTCAGATGTCTTCTGAAAGTCAGGCAGATGTTTAATTCCTTGACTTCTGATGGAAGGGCGTTCCACAGGGAGGGCGCCACCACCGAGAAGGCCCTCTGCCTGGTTCCCTGTAACCTCACAGTGAGGGAACCGCCAGAAGACCCTCAGAGCTGGACCTCAGTGCCCGGGCTGAGTGATGGGGGTGGAGACGCTACTCTTTTTTGTACTTCTGGTGATGAACCTCACTTTGCTCCTTTCCCATTCTGCCTACCCGGAGCATCCATTTGGACCTTCTGTTCCCGATCTCGTTTGCCCACCTGAGTTGTAAGCCAACCTCCAGCCCCTTGAGCTCCCAAGCTACAAATGTCCAGCCTTGGCCTCACATGGAGTTTGGGCTATGGGCCTATGAAGTAAATGGGTGTGTCTGTGTTTGGGGGATCCCTTCTGTTTTACTCACTGGCGTTGAGAGGCGAGAACTTGACAATGAAAGGCGGTCTGCCTGAAGGGCATTGTTTTTTATCTGAGTACTGGTACTTGGCCACAACAGCAGACCGCTCTTTGTCCTGGATAGAAAGCAGAGGGGGCGGAGTCAGCAAAAGGAACAATGCAGGCACACTCCCAGTCAGATTACCAGGTAAGCTGGGAATAGGGACACATCCCATTGTTGATAAAGCCCCCTATGCAGTGTTCCCAACCCGGGTGTTCCGCGGCACACTACTGTGCCGTCAGACATTGGCTGGTTGTGCCGTGGAGGGAGGGGCGAGTTCGGGCGGTGAAGAGGCGCGGCGCGAGGTATCCGCGTCGGAGCCGGGGGCGGCTCCGCGGTGGTGGTGCCCGGAGCGGCGGGCGGGCGCAGTGCAATAAGGGAGGAGCGCGGAGACAGCGGAGGAGGAGGAGGCCGGCATGATCCGGGCAAGCAGCAGCACAACAGCAGCAGCAACTCCGGCGACGGCTTCCTCAAGCCCCGCCGCCGCCCCTCCTCCCGCCCGCTATCGCCGCCACCACCACAACAGCCGCCGCCGCCTCAGTTGCCGCCAGTGGCGTAGCGTGGGGGGTGCCAGGGGTGCCGGCCGCACCGGGCGCAACATGGGCGGGGGCGCGCTCGCACTAGCAGCTCTTTGCCCCTACTAAAATCCACGGGTTAGGGAGCCCGCGCTCGCTCGGCTTGGCGAGGAGGTCGCAGAAGGGGGAGAGCAAGCCTTCTGCCGCGGGCAAAAAAAGGAGAGGAAGCCGGGCGGGCGGGCTGGCTGGCGGGGGTCTGGCTGCGCCTGCTGCTGCCGGGCTTTGACAGCTTGGCGAAGCGGAGGGAGAGGAGCTTTATGGTAATTGCGGCTCTCTCTCCACTGGCCGCCTGGCTAGTGAGCCGAGCCGAGCAGGGAGTCTGGCGAGGGGGCGGGACTTGCCGCCATCCCTCAGTCCCTCGCTCTGCTGCCTCCTCCCACCCCCAAAGCTTGGAGGTTCCCCGGCAAGGGGGAGGGAAAAAAACTTTCACTTTCCTGCGTCCCTCCCGGCGTGACGCTGCGCGCTGACGTCACGGGGCGGGGCTTTAATGGTGGTGTGCCGTGAGATTTTTTTTCAGTAAACAGGTGTGCCGTTGCCCAAAAAAGTTTGGGAAACACTGCCCTATTGTGAACCCTATCCAACACAATCTGTAAATGGAACTGTGGTCCTCTATATGCCTGATGTATAGAGGAGGAGATAATCCAGGGATTGTCTACCCCATGCTTGTGTTTGTAACTGCTGTTTCTTTATGCTCTGAGTGCTTAAACGGCTCAGGACCACAATACCTCAAGGACCACCTCTTCCCATATGAACCTACCTCGACCTGAGATCACCTGAGGCCCTCCTTCGTGTGCCTCCTCCTTGAGAGATCCCGAGGCTGGGAACACGAGAACGGGGCCTTCTCTGCAGTGGCTCCCCGTCTGTGGAATGCTCTCCCCAGGGAAGTTTGCCTGGCGCCTTCATTATGCATCTTTAGGCACCAGGCAAAAACGTTCTTTTTTAACTATGCCCTTTTAAAATGTTTTTCTTTGGGGGCCGGGGCGCCTATTGAGTTGTTTTTATTCTTATTATGTACAGTGGTACCTCGGTCTACAAACAGTCCTGTTAATGAACGATTCGGGCAACGAACTCTGCAAAACCGGAAGTAGGTGGAAGGGCACCAGTGGTGGGAGGCCTCAGTAGGGAAAACACACCTCGGTTTAAGAACACTTTGGTTTAAGAATGGACTTCCAGAAGGAATTAAGTTCGTAGACCAAGGTACCACTGTATTTTTATGTTTTGATTTTATTCTGTGAACTGGCCTGAGACCCCTGGGTATAGGGCGGTATATAAATTCATTCAATCAATCAATCAATTTTAAAAAAAAATGTTGCTTTTTCTGCAGTTCTGAAGATGGGTGTACCCGGATGAGAAAATGTGAGTGGGAGAGTACAATTTGGAATGTAGGAATGTGCTTGTCCACAAAGCACTGATTTGATCCGGTACCTGTAGAGGAAGAGGTACATTTCCCTGTAGTTCTCCCGTCCCAGTGACTCGCTGATTTCGTAGGCGTAGTTGTGCTTAGAGGCACTGCGGAGCAAGAAGAGGGAGAGGGAAAATCAAGGAAAGGCAGAGAAGGATGTGTGCAGAGCAGCAGTTTAAGGACTCTGAATTAGTTCAAGAGAGTTGGCTTGTAAAACAAGGCAGACGCCCCTCCCCACATCACCTGCCAAACCCTTTCCCATCCAGCTGTCGCATTCTAAGCAATGGCAGCCCAGGTAGGAACACCTGTAGGCCTCTTGAAGAATAGCTGGCCTGCACACTGCATGGCTCTCAGAGCAAGAGCAGGATGGTAAGAGCTGTTTGACAGTGGAATGGGTTCTCTCAGGAGATGGTAGACTCTCATTCCTTTTTAAGCAGAGCTTGGATGGCCATCTGAAATATACTCGGAGTCGAGAGTGGATTTCATGCTCTTTATTCAGCTCATAGTGGTGAGGAGGAATGGAAGTTCCCCCAGAATGTCTGCTTTATATACATTATTTACACAAGGGCCCCATGTGATTGGCTAATTCCGGGATTCTCCTGTAGACCAATCAGGTTGCGGATTCACTTCCACCTGGAGCTAGATTGGGTGGCTCCTGTGGACCAATCAGACTGCTGCATTCTGGGTCCTATTGTCTTAGGACCAATCAGACTGCTGCATTCTGAATCCTATTGTCCTAGGACCAATCAGACTGCTGCATTCTGAATCCTATTGTACTAGGACCAAGCAACTGCTGCATTCTGAATCCTATTGTTCTAGGACCAATCAGACTGCATTTTGGATCCTATTCAACTCAGTACATAACACCATCTGTCATGGATGCTTTAATTGAGATTCCTGCATCAAAGGGGGTTGGACAAGATGACTCTATGAACCCCACAGTGGCCAACCAAGCACCTCCAGGAAGCCCATCGGAAGGGAAGGAGGCTGCAGGGCTCTCCTGCTGCTGTTCTCCAGACACTTACTTCCAGTGGCCCTCTACATCTGATCCTGGAGGTTCTATCCTCTTGCCTGCTGCTTATTTTTTAAAAGCCTAGCAGCACCGACATTGCACAGCTTGAATGTTCTGCATATATTTCCCGAGAAAGGAAACTGGTCCTCGAGCTCACTCTCCCTAATTCGTCTTCTCCTCCCATTGAGAAACAATCCATCGCTGCCTTCTCTCTCTCCCGTCCTGCCCAAAGTCTTTGTGGAATCCAACCCCCTGCAATGCAGGAATCTTTTGTCCAAGGTGGGACTCGAACCCACAGCCCTGAGATGAAGAGCTCCCATGCTCTGCCTACTTGCCTGCAGAGACTTAGGGTGGTGTTACCTGTTGAGCCGCTCCAGCAATTCACTAACGGCGCTCAGGTCGGCATCTCGCACCTCTTGCACCAAGGCGATGTCGTACCGCGACAGGATCTGGAAGAAGCATGCATGCGTAAGAAGACCAGAAGGCATAGCTGTCAACGTCTCCCTTTCTTTAAGGGAAATTCCATTATTCCGTGTAGGATTCCTCACAAGAAAAGGGGAAAGTTGACAGCTATGCCAGAAGGGCCCCATTGGATCTGATGGAAGGTCCATCTTGTCCAACTTCTGGCTTCCCACAGTGGTCAACACAACCCATCTCTTCTGCTGCTGCTCCCCACCAACTGCTGTTCAGAGGTAAGGTCCAGTCGTGGCCGACTCTGGGGTTGCGACGCTCATCTCGCTTTACTGGCCGTGGGAGCCGGCATACAGCTTCCGGGTCATGTGGCCAGCATGACTAAGCCGCTTCTGACGAACCAGAGCAGCGCACGGAAACGCCGTTTACCTTCCCGCCAGAGTGGTACCTATTTATCTACTTGCACTTTGACGTGCTTTCGAACTGCTAGGTTGGCAGGAGCAGGGACCAAGCAACGGGAGCTCACCCCGTCATGGGGATTCGAACCACCGACCTTCTGATCAGCAAGTCCTAGGCTCTGTGGTTTAACCCACAGCGCCACCCACATCCCTGCAGAGGTAGACTGCCTCTAAACATGGAAGCCCCACTAATGTCATGACTAATACCCAGTGGCTGGCCTCTTCTCATCTTTCCCTTATGGGACCCTTTCAAAGCCACCTGAGACAGCAGCCATCACCACTTCTTGTGGCAGCAAGTTCCCCAGATCAGTTGTGTAAAGAAGAATTTCATTAGAAAAGCTCTGCTGGATCAGGGGAACAAGCAATAAATATGTTGTCTGGAGGAGCCCTCAAGTTGTGTTCATTGATTTCAGTGATTCTACTCTGAGTATGGGGACGCAGGTGGCGCTGTGGGTTAAACCACAGAGCCTAGGACTTGCCGATCAAAAGGTCGGTGGTTCGAATCCCCGTGATGGGGTAAGCTCCCGTTTTTCAGTCCCTGCTCCTGCCAACCTAGCAGTTCGAAAGCATGTCAAAGTGCAAGTAGATCAATAGGTACCACTCCAGCGGGAAGGTAAACGGCGTTTTCGTGCGCTGCTCTGGTTCACCAGAAGCGGCTTAGTCATGCTGGCCACATGACCCGGAAGCTGTACTCCGGCTCCCTCGGCCAATAAAGCGAGATGAGCACCGCAACCCCAGAGTCAGCCACAACTGGACCTAATGGTCAGGGGTCCCTTTACTTACTCTGAGTATAATAATAATAATAATTTATTATTTATACCCCACCCATCTGGCTGGGCTTCCCCAGCCACTCTGGGCAGCTTCCAAAAAAATATTAAAATACTGTAATACATCAAACATTAAAAGCTTCCCTAAACATGAGAGCTGGTGGACAGTGGAACGGACTCCCTAGGGAGGTTGTGGAGGTTTTAAAGCAGAGGTTGGATAGCCATCCATCATGGAGATTCTTGCATGATTCTACAATTTGATACCATCATTTGTTTTGAGCTCACAGTCCTTCTGCAGGAAAATCCATTCCTGGTTACCCCATCCTTCCTTCATTTCAGCATTCTGTTTTTGGAGGATGGGGAGGGAGCCATCTTGTCGCTGCTATTCTTGTGCAAGTGGGAGTCAGGAATCCCTGCCAGTCTACCTGCCCATCACTGCCAATCTACCTGCCCATCTGCTGCAGTCGGACTGGTATTGGGTCTCTCATGTTGGGGATTCTGTCCTTGCAAAGCCCCTTTCTCACCTTCACAATAATTTCCGAGATCCCCTCATTAGACAGTTTGCTGTCTCCAAAGCTCTGGATGTTGAACGCGCAGATCTTCAGAGGAGTGGCTGCCTGCATCAGGAAAGCCAGGGCGGAAATGCCCAACAACAGCTTCATGGTAATTCCCCTAAATGGGAGAGACGGGAGGAGAATATTTTAGTTGTGGGCTATAAGCACCAGCTACTGGGTCATGAGAGGGCCCATTGGGGTGGCACCAGTTGTAGCTGGTTCCCACTGAGACTGGTTGGGCAGACTGCAAGGAGCCCATCAGCAGGTGGCGCTAGAGTGCATGGCGGGCAGGGCCAACCTGTTCTAGCTTTGTCTCTATCCTCCTCCTCCTCCCTGCTGAGTTCTAGCATCGCACCAGTTTAAACAGCCCTGGCTTCCCACAAGGAATCCTGGGAAGTGTCATTTGTTAAGGGTGTTGAAAGTTGTTATGAGACCCCTGTTCCGTTCACGAGAGCAGCAATTCCCAAAGTTTCCTGGGAAGACGGGCTGGTTGTTAAACTACTCTGGGAACTGTAGTTCCATGAGGGGAATAGGGGTCTCCTAACATCCGTCAGCACCCTTAACAAGCCACAGTTCCCAGGATTCCTTGGGGAAAGCCAAGGCTGTTGAAAGTGGGGTGATACTACGAAAGAAAACTGTTCATGTATGCTACAACGGATGCTGCTAGCCCAGAGATGGAAGGATGAGACAACCCTGACCAGAGAAGAAGGGCAAATCAAATTGATGGACTCTGCCAAAATGGCAAAATTAACTGGGAAGCTTAGGAACCAAGAAGACAAGAATTTTTTTTTAAAAATGGAAAATGTTTATAATGTATATAGAAAGTCATTGTAAACAGGTCAAAACATTAGCAGGATTTTAAACACACTTGTAGTAGAAAGTACAGATGATTCAGGAAGATGAAAAACTGGAGAAGTATTCATATGCAGTTGAAAATAGATTCAAGAGGAGAAATGCCCCCTGACATGGCGATACACTTGTATGAGAAATTATAATAATATTAATCGCAAACTGATGCCGAAAGGGGGAGAACTGAATTAAGTTTGGAAAAACGAGGGTCCGTAATTGACAGATTTATCCCTCTCTGCCATCCACAGATTATCATCTTCAAAATGCTGCCCTGTATCTGCCATCCACTTAACCCAGATTTATCTTTTCCAGGGAAACTACAATAAATGGAAGAAAACCTGCTACCAGTGAGCCATTCGTGATATCTCGGTGACCCATTTGCAAAATTAAGCCCTCAGATGGAACCACATTTAATGGATTTCCCATGGGAAGGTAAATCCGGATTAAATGTGTGGGTGAGTGAAATACACACTGCGGATTTGCAGCTGATAAACTGTGGGGACGGCAAAAGAAATTGCTTGCTTGAGGAGAGCTCATCTCACAAAATAAACACATCTATCTGGAAGCGCCAAGAATATCCAGTGCACAATAACTTGTTGATAATGCAAGAAGGAAACAATCAAAGCAAAAAATTCAAAAGCAGGTGTCAGGGGCTCAGGGGCAGAGCCACAGGGGAAAGAGAAATTGGAGAGTGAAGGGGAAGAATCTGAGGGGAGCTTAGGAGGGTATGACAGTGACCCGAGAGATTCCATGAGTCTCTCCAGTGAATCAGAAGATTCCCAGAAAGAGGCGCCCAGGGTTAGGGCAAGGGGGGCCAGCGGTGAGTCTCCAAGCGGCAGTTGGAGATCCGGGCCAGTTTCCCCGACCGAGCGTAGGGAGGGGGAAGAAGAAGCCCACAGATCAGAACTGACCACGCCTCCGTTGGAGAGTGGGGGGGCGGAGCGGAGGTCAGTTGCAGCCAGCCCCCCCGAAGGGGGGAGCAGTGACAGGAGCAGTGTAGCCGTTAGGAGGAAAGTGACCGGCTGGGCGCGCGCGCCAAGTTCAAATGTGCAGGCGCGCGAGCCAGCAGAAAATCCGGATTGGGAGCCGGGTCCCAAAGCCCGCCGGAGACAGGGGGAGGAGTCGGAGGAATCCGCTTCCGAAGAGTCCAGGAGGGGTGGGACCCCAGAGGGCAGGAGGGCCCAGAGGAAAAAGGAGCAAAGGGAGAGGAGGAAGAGGTGGAGCAAAGCTCGGGTGTTAAACTGGTGTAGGGGAGGGGAAGAGTCAGACGGGGCTTCGACGGTCTAGAGTACGGACGTAGGGTTGCGCGCCACGGATGTAAAACCAACAATGAACTTCAATAAAGACTTTTGTATATAAAGAGACACTGGCGTTGGTCCTTTGTGAGCTGGGACCTGAGGCAGCCCTGACAGCAGGTTAATGCAAAATTGCAAAAATCCATCTTTAATCATTCCAAATGTTTCCATATAAACAAGCCTAAAAGCAGGAAGATGGCAGCATAACAATATCCGCATCTTCAGTCTCAATGTTGTCCTTGATGAGCTCAGCTGGGAGGAGGATCGAGGCAAAACTAGAAATAGTTTCTGGTTTGGGCTCCCTGCATTCTGACCCACAAGTCTCTATGGACATCAGCCGCCGCTTCCAGCTCTAAATGATAGCTGATAGGGTTGCCATAGGTCTGGGAATTTCCGGATATGTCCTCTCTTGGGAGTCCTACATGCCCATCCGGGGGCAATTTTACATTTTAAAGCAAATGTCCTGGATTTTGGGTTGGGTTGTTTTTTTTTTAAAGTGTGCTGGTGGTTCTGGTTCAAGCTCGGGTGATTTGGGCGCTCTGGCATGGCAGAGGGACTATTGGGCGATTGCCCTAAAAAAACTCAACAACTTTTTGTGTCCGGATTTTGACCTCTTGAAATATGCCAATACTATGATAGCATAAGAAGAGGGTGCTGGATCAGGCCAATGGCCCATCTATTCCTGCGTCCTGTTCTTACAGTGGCCGACCAGATGCCAGAGAGAAGCCCTGGGCAACTGGTCTTCAAAGGCATGAGGAACCCGACAACCTCAGGAAGAGTGCTTGCATCACCTCTTAGCCGAGAAGAGATGGTGGAAGAAGATTGGAAGAAGTTTAAAGAATATTTGAAAAAATATGTTAATATTTAAATTTTAGAATAGCCTTGGAAGTGGATATAGGCTGTAGGGTTAGAGGTAGAAGATAGTGTTTTTTAAAATATTATTATTTGTAAGTGATAAAATGTGAAGATTTTTATGGTAAAAATAAGCGTGATAAAAAAACTGGTTAATAATTATGATATATGTAAACTGCTAAAGATGAGGTAAAATGAAAATCAGATGGGGGGGACTTGGGGAAGCTCATCTAACAATTTTAAGAAAAAATAAGGATAAGACAAGAATTTGTTTGCATTGTTTGTTTTTCTGTTTGTGTTGTTTAGTTGTATTATAAAAGGAATTTAAAAAAATTGGGGGGGGGGGAGGATCCCAGTGGCTTGGATGAGCTCTGAGCCAGTGACTCGCAGCTGCGTCTTGGTATCCAGGCCTCTGGCTACGGCAGGCGTGAAGGTGTTGCCGCGTCAGCAGAGATGTTCCCTCAGCCGGGGCTTTGGAATCTCGCCCAGTCGCAGTATCTTCCCAGGCTGAGAGCTTGGCAGGAGTTTGCTTCCCCCAAGGTCTCTGGAGGGAGCAGCTCTCAGCCAGACTCCCAAGGCCAACACCCAGGCCCCGGGCTGTGCTTGCTCACTTTCTCATCATCGGCGTCGCTCAGTGCGCTGAGATGCTTGGCACCCTCCAGGAGTGGCTTAGGTATCTCTGGCAAGCGCTGCCAAATCTTTCACCTTGCAAGGTGGAATTATGCTCCTTCAAAGAGGGAGCGATTAGAGCTGTGCTCCCACCTCTCTCTTCCACAAACCAAGGGTTAGATAAAGGTAAAGGGAACCCTGGCCATTAGGTCCAGTAGCGGACGACTCTGGGGTTGCGACACTCATCTCGCTTTATTGGCCGAGGGAGCCGGCATACAGCTTCCAGGTCATGTGGCCAGCATGACAAAGCCGCTTCTGGCAAACCAGAGAGCGGCGCACGGAAACGCCGTTTACCTTCCCGCCAGAGTGGTACCTATTTATCTACTTGCACTTTGACGTGCTTTCGAACTGCTAGGTTGGCAGGAGCAGGGACCGAGCAACGGGAGCTCACCCTGTTGCGGGGATTCGAACCACCGACCTTCTGATCGACAAGTCCTAGGCTCTGTGGTTTAACCCACAGTGCCACCTGCATCCCAAGGGTTGCCCCTCGCCAAAAAGGGTACTTGATTAAGAAGAGCTGCAACTCACGGACAGTGCATCTGCTTTGTGTGCAGAAGGTCACAGGTTCAATCCCCGACTTCTCCAGGTAAGGCAGGGGAAAATCCCTGCCTGGAAGCCTGGAGATGTGTTGCCGGTCAGTTTAGACAATACTGAGCTAGATGGACCAATGCCTGACTCCGAATTCTGTTGCCAACTCCTCTCCCTGCTGCTCTGAATCCTTGCAGGCTCTGTCTTGCTCTGTTCTCTGTGTCAGTGGAAGGTGTCTTGTCTCTTCCCACCTGGCAGGTGCATTGCAGGCAGTGGTTCACCAAGATGATCCTGGCATCGCTCTGCTGGCAGGAGATTCTCCTGCCAAATGTTTGTTCAGTAAAAAAACCACCACCACCACTATGTGGGTGGAGATTGCAAGTTTATTTTGGTCCAGGCAGGTACTGTGGGACTTTACCCCTTCCTTCCCAGAAATAAGCATTAGAATATCAAACTTTTTTTTTTAAAAAAATAATCTTTATTCATTTAAATTACACACATATACAAAGAATTTACAATCTCATACTACAAAAAGAAAATTAAAGCAAAAACAATTAAGAAAAAAGAAAAGAAGAAAATACAGAAAAAAGAAAGAAAAATCAGATTTACGTGCCTAAAAAACCTTAATCTTTCTCATTAATACTTAAATAAAAAAGACTTCTGACAAAACGAGTCTTCCAATCCTTCTCATTGTACTGTTTATACTGTCGGTTTTCCCGCACAGTTTTATATTCTTTAATATTGTTCCTGTCTACTCCACAAACGGTATTTGTTGTGTTAACAAATATCACTCAAATTCTGCTCATGTGGTGTGGTTGGTACAATATGATCTTATATCATCCTTAAATATTCTCCATTCTCCAAACATTTTCTGGTTCAATACTCCTCTAACCCTTCTCCTCTGTTTTGCTAGTTGTAAATAGAGTATCAATTTTTTTAAAAAAACCACTGGACTACCTTGGGGATTATAAAGATCCCATGAAGATTGCTGCTGGAGCAGACCAAAAAAACCTATCTACTCCAACATCCTGATTACTTACAATGATCAGTCAGATACCTCCAGGAGCCTGCAACCAAGGCAGGCAGGCAGGCTCTAGCCCTCTCCACCTGTTATTTTCCTCAGCAGCTGGTATTTCGAGGTACACTGCTCTTAACCCTGGAGGTTTCATTTTATCACCTGGGCTATAATTGCTACCTTGTTTTGCTCCTGCCTTTGTTCTAGGCAGGCTCTACAGGATGTCTCCTCCTCCATCTTATCTCACAACCACCATGCCAGATAGGTAGGGGATGAAAGAATCTGTCCCCATTTTGAATTTCACCATTTCTCATTGTCCCAGTCTTGAAACATCTTCTCCACATTTCTATAGCAACTTATGACTATTGTTTTTTTTTTAAAAAAAAAACCCTAATGAAAATTCAACAGCATTTTAGGGAGAACTCCTAATAAACACCTTCTTGTTTCCTATTTTGACTAACGTACATGGGTTTCCCCCCCCCCAAGCAAGTTCTCCAAATATAATGCATCTTCATCTTTTCGTTCCACTAATACATTCCTTTTTAAGCACATTTCTCCCTAATGTATGCATTTTTGTAAACATCCTTTGGTTGGGAAACTGCATTGCAAACTTTTGGGGAAGTGGGGTTTTTATTTTTATCTATTAAATTTGTATACCACCCCTATAACCACAGATCTCAGGGTGGTTACAACATAAAATCAAAATATAAAAAATTTGAGCTACCTGCTGTGTTTTGGCGTTCCTGCATAGTTTCGGAAAGAGCGAATTGGGTAGGCACACGTGAAAATCCTAATCAAATTGGATTTCTTCTCCCTCCCTAAGCACCACCTATCTTGTGGCAGGGAGTTCCACCAGTTTCTCACGCCCTGTGCCCAGAAGGGCTTGTTCTGATCTGCCCCTGATCTGCCAGGAAATCTCTCTCACTGGGTGATCCCAGGTTCTAATATTAGGATAGAGGAAGAAAAAGCCCCTCCAAAAAAAGTCCCCCCAGAAAAACCCCACAATAAAATCAAATAGTTTTTTTAAAAAATAAAATGAACTAGCCCCTACCGTGTGTTCCACAGGCAGTGGGAAAATGGTTTGGAGGTGTTCCCAGAGCCTCTCCAGTCACTGACGCCCCGTGCGGTCCTGATGCGAAATCTCCCACAACTTTTGGTTCCTCACCAAGTTTTATGGAAATGAAAGACAGTCCCCACCCATCTCCCTGGCGCAACATCCGTCACCTCGCTGCAGTTTCTTTACACGAAATGCAGCAAGTTCCCATCCCTGGGCTGGGCGGGGCAGAGACACATTAACAAGCATTTTCTGAGCGTACATTTTATAAAAACACAAGCCTTACAGACTCCGCCTTGGGAGAAGCGAGTGCATTGCATAACCTGGGATGGCAAATAAAGAATCATAGAATCATAGAGTTGGAATAGACCACAAGGGCCATCGAGTCCAACCCCCTGCCAAGCAGGAAACACCATCAGAGCACTCCTGGCATATGGTTGTCAAACCTCTGCTTAAAGACCTCCAAAGAAGGAGACTCCACCACACTCCTTGGCAGCAAATTCCACTGTCGAACAGCTCTTACTGTCAGGAAGTTCTTCCTAATGTTTAGGTGGAATCTTCTTTCTTGTAGTTTGGATCCATTGCTTCATGTCTGCTTCTCTGGAGCAGCAGAAAACAACCTTTCTCCCTCCGCTATATGACATCCTTTTATATATTTGAACATGGCTATCATATAACCCCTTAACCTCCTCTTCTCCAGGCTAACAAGGTGTCAGGGTGGGATCCGTCCGTTCACCAAAACCACAGAGATTGCATTTATGATAGCCGCCTCCCCCAGCCCTCTGTATTCAACAACGGGTTACGAGTTATAAATCCAACAGGTGAAGCTTTTCTGAGGACAAGACATTTAAATTTTTATTTATAACTTATCAAAATACATGGAAAAGTTTATACCCAAGACCAAGTCTCTTTTTACAATAGATAGACCATTATTATTATTATTATTATTATTATTATTAATAATAATAATACTCCACCCATCAGGCTGGGTTCCCCAGCATTTTAAAATGCTTTAAAAATCTAACCTAAAAGAACAATGGCAAGTGAAGCTGGTGAACTATGCAGAACTGGCAAAAATGACAGACAGACTAAGAGAAAAAGACAACAGTGACTTTGAAAAAGAATAGGAACCATTTATATTATACTTGCAGAAACAAATAAAGTCTATAGACTTGATGGCAGGATTTAAATAAACATTCACATTATTAGTATTAGAAAATGTGTGGGAGATAGAGAAATAATATGATGTATCCATTGTTATTTTTATGTTTCTAGGTTTGGTGTTATTGTATAAATATGTTATTAGTAGTTTTTCTTTTTCTTTTGGAAGGTAGCAAAGTGGGTGAAAGGAGAAACAGACCAGAAGCGGAAGTTGGGGGGAGCCTAGGAGGGGAGGGAGGAAGGAATGCATAGTAAATGTTAGGAATATGAGATGTATGTAATGAATGAAAAAGAAAAATGAAGGTTTTTTAAAAAAAAATAAAAAAAAATAAAAATCTAACCTAAAAGGAAACAGGAGCAAAGAGAAGAGGAAAGTGGGGTGGGGAGAGAAACAAAAAGAAAAGAGAAAATTAGATCATAACACAATGTAAATTTTAACCCTTTAGTCCACATACATTCCCACTGTTCCATCTGAAGCCTTTTTGAGGATGAATCAAGGCTGGCAGCTTCACCTGTTGAATTTTTGCTTGCACAAGAGCTCAGAGAGAGACTTTTAGCTTCCTCACTAATGCACGGGGAGCAGACATACTTATTGACTCCCGCCTCTCCCCCACCCACAAATACATGCATCATCATATCCATATATACCCTGCATCAACCTAATAGGGCAGTTTTACCCAGCCTTGGGCCTTCCCAAGGTTTTGGACTCCAACTCCCATCAGCCTCTGCTAGCATGGCCAATGGACAGGGCTGATGGGAGTCGGAGTCCAAAACATCCCACCAGGGATGGCTGGTCCAAGGATTGCGCCAGCGATATTGATGGCGTTCAGCAACCCAATTGCGAAACCTGGCAAACTCGTGTGCAGTTCATCATGGTGCCTACGGTGGAGTCAAATGCCCTCCAGGTGTTTTTTTGGGAACAAGGTGATTAAAATATAATTAGCCAGAGAGATGACAAGAGGATGAGTGGAAGGCAGGGAGGAATCTCAGCGTAACCTGAAAAGCAGCTTTGAGGGGTGGTTGTGATGCTTCAGCTCTGTGGTGCATCATTTGGGCTAATTTAGGCAGGCAGAGGATATGACCCCTCACACGACCACTGTGCTTTGCAGTGTGCCCCACCTATAAACCATGGACGGGGAGCCATGCATGGGAGAAGAGAACATGCCAATCTCAGGTTCTCTTAGTTTCTCATTTTCCCAATCTTAAATTTAGTTCTCCATATTTCCACATCAGTTTGCAATTTTGTTTATTTTTAAGGTCCTCGTGAAAATTTGCCAGCGTTTCAGTGCAAATTTCTGGCAATGGACACATCTTTGTACAGTGGTACCTTGGGTTACAGATGCTTCAGGTTACAGATGCTTCAGGTTACAGACTCCACTAACCCAGAAATAGTACCTCGGGTTAAGAACTTTGCTTCAGGATGAGAACAGAAATCGTGGCGCAGCGGCAGCAGGAGGCCCCATTAGCTAAAGTGGTGCTTCAGGTTAAGAACAGTTTCAGGTTAAGAACAGACCTCCGGAACAAATTAAGTTCTTAACCCGAGGTACCACTGTACGCAATTTTGCCTGATACACACATTTTCCCAAAGCGATTCTCACTAACACAACGTACTTTTTATGTTACTTTTACTCATGTATGAACCTAGGTCCATGCATTCCTCTAGCACAAGGGTCAGCAAACTTTTTCAGCAGGGGGCTGGTCCACTGTCCCTCAGACCTTGTAGGCGGCCAGACTATGGTTTTTTTTTTGGGGGGGGATCAACAAATTCCTATGCCCCACAAATAACCCAGAGATGCATTTTAAATAAAAGGACACATTCTACTCATGTAAAAACACACTGATTCCTGGACCGTCTGCAGGCTGGATTTAGAAGGTGATTGGGTCGGATCCGACCCTTGGGCCTTAGTTTGCCTACCCATTCTCTAGAGCAGCCTTTCTCAACCTGTGGGTCCCCAGATGTTGGACTACAACTCCCATCACCCCTAGCTAGCAAGGCCAGAGCTCAGGGATGATGGGAGTTGTAGTCCAACAACATCTGGGGACCCACAGGTTGAGAACCGCTGCTCTAGCACATGCATTTCTGTACATACTTATTGGCTGGAAAACCATTTTGCAAAATTCACATTAGGGTGAATTTTGAAGGATCACTGTGTTTTGGTTTTTGCATCACAGGTGGTGCAAATTTGGTGGGTTCGCCTTCAAATACAAACTGAATGGAATTTTCCCCCTCTCCCTACCCCACAATCACATCCACATCACACATGTGAAGCCCTCTTAAATCATTCAACAGTCATGAGTTCCTCCAAAGAATCCTGCGAATCCTAGTTTAGGGTGCTGAGACATCTTCGTAGAGCTACAATTCCCAGCACCCTGAACAAGCTATAATTCCCAGGATTTTGAATGGAAGCCATGACTGTTCACTTGGTATTAAAGGTAAAGGGACCCCTGACCATTAGGTCTAGTCGTGACTTACTCTGGGGTTGCGGCGCTCATCTTTCTTTATTGGCCAAGGGAGCCGCCGTACGGCTTCCAGGTCATGTGGCCAGCATGACTAAGCCGCTTCTGGCAAACCAGAGCAGCACACGGAAACGCCATTTACCTTCCCGCCAGAGTGGTACCTATTTATCTACTTGCACTTTGATGTGCTTTCGAACTGCTAGGTTGGCAGGAGCAGGGATGGAGCAACGGGAGCTCACCCCGTTGCGGGGATTCAAACCGCCGACCTTCTGATCGGCAAGTCCTAGGCACTGTGGTTTAACCCACAGCGCAATCCGCATCCCTTCACTTGGTATTAGAATGCTTTAAATGCATGATATGGCTGCGAGCGTAAAGTGGCTAAATAATTTCACGATGCAGTCCTGCAAAAGGACTAGGAGTGGAGTTTTTGCAAGCCCTTCTTTGCACAGGAGGTGAATTCAGGTTTCCGTGCGTTGACCACAATTGCAAGACCAGAGTTTCCTCAAACTTCCCATTTCACAAAGGAGAGGCATTACACATCATCTGGTCTGGGAAGAAGCTTGCTTGCCACATTCAGCTGATTTTCTTCACTGGCTCCCTTCACCCTACTTGGCTATTAGCCATGGGTTGGAATAGTAAACCCGGAACCAGGAATATGGTCAGGATGACAAGGGATGAGTCAGCCTATCAATCTCTTTCTCATTTTCCCCATCGTAAATTCAGTTCTGCATATTTCCCCACCAGATTGCAATTTTTTAAAAAGTGCTCTTGAACATTTGCCAGCATTTTAGAGTGAATTTATCCTAATATACACATTTTTGGTATGCAATTTTGTCATACGCTTCAGATTACAGACTCTGCTAACCCAGAAATACTACCTTGGGTTAAGAACTTTGCTTCAGGATGAGAACAGAAATCTTGCTCCGGCGGCGCGGCGGCAGCAGGAGGCCCCATTGGCTAAAGTGGTGCTTCAGGTTAAGAACAGTTTCAGGTTAAGTACGGACCTCCAGGACGAGTTAAGTACTTAACCCGAGGTACCACTGTACTTCTTGCAGGAGGGATGGCCAGGACACTGGTAAGACGGCCACAGGTAGCTTCAGTTGCATCCTGAGGCCTGGGAAACACCCTCAAAGAGCAGCCTGTCCCGTGATGTTGTAAAGCGAAACTCAGCTATTCCCCGCAGGGTCTGGTTTGTTGCTAATGATAGTAAACACCCCGGGTGAGCTGGGAATCTATTTCTGCAAGCCGATGCTCCTTTGGGTCTGCCTCTTTTTAAAGCACAAATTTCATTCAGTGGGTCGGCTAACTGGTTCACTGAAGTTACTTTTAAAATAAGGTTGCGAAATTTTGGAATGCATTTAAACACCCTTATTTGTTTTTTGTTTGCAAAATAAAGCAGCTAACAAATTATTATTGCTGCTAATAATAATAGAATTCTGATATGCAAAGGTTTGGCAGGCAGCCCTGTTAGAAACACATTCACCTAAATTAAGAGTAGCCAGAAGACAAAGCAAGCATGCTAACTACTTTTTTTGGCAGTTTGGTGCGTTCCTATTTCTTCTATGGATAAACCACAACCTAATCGCCCAGTTCCCTCAGAATATCAGGCCACAATGATAACATGGTGACTGTCCCTGTATTTTGTTAGCTTCAGCATCTCTGCTCTGTGTTGCGTTCTCATTGTGCATGGTCCCCCCCCCCGCTTTTTTCTGTATACTGAATATTGTGAAAACATATTGCGCATGTGGAACAAACATTCAACAGAAGCCTGCTACTTGTTGTTTTGGGATTCTTGCTATAGCAGAAATGAGAACTGTTGAACAAGTGACACATCTTTCACAAGTGGCTTGGCCACTCGTCACTTGCGTAAGTAGATGTTTTGCAGGAAACCAACAAGCTTGAGGAAGAGGTTGAGAGATGGGATGTGGAGATCTGTTTTCTGCCTGTTGCACAGGGGAAAGATGTGCAACCTGGAGAATGTCAATATTTTGCAGGAGAGGTTCAAGCACAGACCAGAAATTTAGTTTTGCACAATTAAAGTGAATTAGAGTGCTCTGCTGACCTGGTACAACAATCCCGGTTTTTGTTTTGACTTTTTTTTTGCAATTAACAATATAGCAGGCAATTCTAAGACTACTCTCCCTGAAAGAGCTGGCTTGAGATGCAGATTTGTACAAATGCAGGATTTATTTTTACATTATTCATTCATTCATTACAAAAGCAGTATTTATTCATTACAAATGAACCCCATTCACCTGGTGGTGCTTTTAAATAGCCAAGTCAAACGTGGTGCTTTTCACCAAGTCAAGAAAGTGTGTTGTGGGCTGGGTCTCCCAGTCAGAATTTAAAGCAGTCTTGCATATCAGTCAAGAAAGGTGAAGGGGCTGTTCCTTCTCCTGTTTCTGAAACCGAGTTTTCAGCTTGCTGATGATGAAGAGGTCAAGGTGGAGGAGAAAGAGAAGAGCGGACAATCATTGAACTGCATGGCCTCTTCAAACCTGCAATAGATTCTGCAACTGCCAAGTCCCCCATTCCAAAAATCCCAGTTTGTTATGCTACCCAATAACTCTCTAGCAGTCTTAACAGAAATACACTGCCCAGGAATCTGGGAGAAGAGAGAACTATTCTGTAGTTTGCAGGAATGCTGTCTTACGCTGCCTCAGATAGTCAAAACTCTGATCCACCTATCGTATTTTTCGCTCTATAGGACGCACCCGACCATAGGATGCACCTTGTTTTAGAGGGGGAGAACAAGAAAAAAATCTCCCCCTCTCTGCTCAGCGCCCCTTCAGCGAAGCGGCAGGAGAAACAGAGCCCCTTCCATTTCTCCTCCCGCTTCGCTGAAGGGGCGCTGCGCAGCTCTCACTCTCTGCTGAAGCCAGGAGAGTCTTGCTCTCCCGGCTTCAGCAAAAGGAACCTGAAGCCTGCGGAGCACAGCGCAAGTTCCTGCTGCGCTCCAAAGGCTTCAGGCAGCTATCCCTGAAGCCTGGAGAGCGAGAGGGGTCGGTGCAGCGAAGCCTCCGGAGCGTGGAGGGAGCACTCCCTCTGCGCTTCGGAGGGTTTGCGTTGCTATCGCTGAAGCCAAGGAGCCTGCATTCGCTCCATAGGACGCACACACATTTCCCCTTAATTTTTGGAGGGGGAAAAGTGCGTCCTATAGAGCGAAAAATACGGTACTTTAGTTCTGTCAACACTGGCCGGCAGCATTTATCCAAGATTGCAGGCAAGGTATCTTTCCTAGTCCTACCTGGAGATGCCATTTGGAACTGAACCCAGAAAAACCTTCTACAGGCCAAGCAGATGCTCTCCTGTTGCCCTGACGTCACCCAACTGAAGAAATCATAGCCAATGAATTGTGCCGCTTGTCACTGGCTGGCTGTCTCCAGTGCACACATTTAAACAATTGTTTCGAAGCAAGAGGTGGACTTTGGTTTGCGATATCTGTATTTCGGCAGGGCAGGGCGGTGAGGAGGCCAACACCTTCTCTCGTGGGTGGGAACTATTATTCAAACTTAGAAACGTCAGCGTCAAGGGGGCTCCTGGAAATCCTGCTGTCCTGTGAACTGGGGAACTTTTTTATAGAGCCTACGGGAAAATGTGTGTATGTCTGCATTTGGAACGAAAAGAAGTTCTGTGACCGAGTTCTGCTATGGAGCTGCAAGCCTGGTTTGTGTTAAGTTCTTGGTGACAGACTCTAACAAGAGGAGGGAGAGAAAATGTTGCATTATGAAAAGCAAGGCTCACTTTTTTCTCTGCACTGGCAACCTCTTGTACTACCCCAGCCAGATTGGCATGTAAAGACAAGGCTTTATGATGTTAGCCACCCTGAGCCCGGCTCTGGCCAGGGAGGGCGGGGTACAAATAAATTTTTATTATTGTTGTTGTTGCTGCTGCATTTTATTGGGGAAAAGCAGCATAAAAATGCCCACTGCCCAATTGCTCCTGATTCACTCCATTATGACATGCCTAGGATGGAAGGGAATACAATTACGGAATTCTGATATCTCTAGGTAAAGGTAAAGGGGCCCCTGACCATTAGGTCCAGTCGTGACCGACTCTGGGGTTGCAGCGCTCATCTCGCTTTATTGGCCAAGGGAGCCGGGCGTACAGCCTCCGGGTCATGTGGCCAACATGACTAAGCCACTTCTGGCGAACCAGAGCAGCACACAGAAACGCCATTTACCTTCCTGCCGGAGCGGTACCTATTTATCTACTTGCACTTTGAGGTGCTTTCAAACTGCTAGGTTGGCAGGAGCAGGGACCGAGCAACGGGAACTCACCCCGTCATGGGGATTCGAACTGCCAACCTTCTGATTGGCAAGTCCTAGGTTCTGTGGTTTAACCCACAGCGCCACCCGCGTCCCTTCTGATATTTCTAGTTTTCACTAATTTCTCCCCTTCCTTTTGTGTAAGGGTATTTTTGTGCTTTGCTATGTTTCCATTAAATAAATAAATTCTTTAGGGCGGAGGCAGGAATTGCCCAGTTACAGTGCCCTCAACTCTCTCTGCTCAGATGCTGGACCTTCCAAAATGTGCAGGGAGACCAATGCCAGCAGCTACTTACGTTGTCGGGAAAATATTTCTCAATGAGGCCCAGGGCAGCTCGGTAGACAAAGGTGTTCTCGTGAGTCTGGAGGGCTTCGATCTTCTCCAGGCCCCCAAGCTCTTCCACCAAAAGGCACAGCTTCTGCGTTGCACCCAGCTTCTCAGCAGCCTAATATTGGGATACAATGCAGGGTCCATCTAGTTCAGTATTGTCTACACTGATTGGCAGCAGACCCCTATTTTTCCAGGTGGAAAGCCCTGCCAGGAGATGTGAGGGGCTGAACTTGGATGCAAGGCAGATTCTCTGCTATTGAGATGCCTGCAAGCCTGTGCCAAAGAGGAAAAACTGTGTTCTTCCTGCAACAGCATCAATTCCAGGTTAGAACGCTGCTCAGTTGTTCTGGACTGGTTGGATGCGGAGGAACCAACTGGTGATACTTCAAGGGAAGAAAGCTCAGAGCCAGAGGAGGGGTGGTGGGACAATGAGGAGCGGTCAGAGGGAGAAGACTGGGAAGAGGTGGTGTCGGAAGCTGAAGAAGTAACAGGGCTTTGTGAGCAGGGAGACTCTGTGGCAGGGAGCAGTCCAGAATCAGAGGCAGAAGCAGGAGAGGAAGGAGGCCGAGAGAAAGAGATGAATCAGGTTGGGGAAGAGTCATGGGTAACTTTCCTCCTGCTACAACAAGCTTCCCTCCCCGGCCCCCGGTCTCCAAGAACCTGAAGAGGTAAGACGACAGCTGAGCAAAGACAGGCAAGATGAAGAAGCAACAGATTGCTTGAGGGAAAACCAGAGAAGTAGATTTAGAGAGGTGTGGGAATGTGGAGACCTTCTGTCCTGCCTCACTGGGGCAAGATGTACTACTGGGAAGGGTTGCTGGGCTTACTAGGCCTGAGCTGTTTGGTTTCTTTGAATAAAGAGTTAACTGCACGGACATCTAGTGAATTATTGCTGACCTGCTCCAGACACCTGTCTGTCTCTCCACCCTCCCGCCCCGCCAATATCAGTTCTCCCAGGAAGCCTACCAGAGAAGTGGCGATAAAACACGCACACTTACCAGGAAGAAACTAGAGATGCTGTCCAAGACGACGAGGATAATTTTGGCATCTTTGATAGCCAGCAAGTTCAGCAGAGGTTTAAGGACCCCCGCCTGGACCATTTCCTCCACCTGCTGCTCCGTCCCTCCAGTGGTGAAGTTGGCAACTGCCCACACAGCCTCCCTTTGGGCCCTGATGTCTCCCTGTTGAAGGTGGGGAAGGATGGGCAGGCAAGTGAATACAAGACGGCTGCAGATCAGCCGGTTCTAGTACAGTGGTACCTCGGGTTACAGATGCTTCAGGTTACAGACGCTTCAGGTTACAGACTCCGCTAACCCAGAAATAGTACCTTGGGTTAAGAACTTTGCTTCAGGATGAGAACAGAAATCACGCAGTAGTGGCGCAGCGGCAGCAGGAGGCCCCATTAGCTAAAGTGGTGCTTCAGGTTAAGAACAGTTTCAGGTTAAGAACGGACCTCTAGAACAAATTAAGTTCTTAACCAGAGGTACTACTGTAATTTAACAGTGAACAGCGCTCAGCATGTTCAGACTCTCATCTATCCTGCCCCAACGAAAGCAGAAACCACTTACTATAAATAAGGCATGCCTTGCTTTATACAAAACTTGCATTATTTTTGTTTAGTAAGACTTATATACTGCCTAATCAGATTTGGAAACCTTTGGCCCTCTAGATCAGTGTTTCCCAAACTTGGGCCTCCAGCTGTTTTTTGGACTACAATTCCCATCATCCCTGACCACTGGTCCTGATAGCTAGGGATGATGGGAGTTGTAGTCCAGGAAAAAAAACACCAGCTGGGGAGACCTAAGTTTGAGAAACGGTGCTCTGGATGTTGAACTGTTCGACAGTGGAACTATCTCCTTCGGGAAGTGGTGGACTCTCCTTCCTTGGAGGTTTTTAAGCAGAGGTTGGGTGGCCATCTGTCTTGGATACTTTTGTTGAGATGCCTGCATTGCAGGGGGTTGGACTAGATGACCCTCAGGGTCCCTTCCAACACTACAGTTCCATGATTCTATGAACTACAACTCCCATCATCCCTGGTCACTAGGCCAGGCTTCTTTCGATTTGTAGTTCAGCAACACCTGGAAGGCCAAACATTCCCCACATCTGCACTAAGCAGTTTACCTAAAATGTATAATATTCATAAAAATTCAAATAATTTATTACATTTGCTTGTTAAAGCATCAAAATACTGTCGACTATTGTTTTTTAAAAGCAAGATCCGTACATAATTAAACAGCATGCCTGGATAGCCTTGCCTAATCAGAAAAGCTGTTAGCAGAGCAGGCATTGAAAACAGTGCAACAGATGTCTAATATTTAAAAACTTGCATGGGTTTGGCAGTCATGTCATGGGCAGGGGCCAAGAGTTGTGCAGAAGCACCCTCCAGTTCCAGAGATTTTCACATTCCCTTTATGCATGATGTCATAAGGACTAGAAACATTCCTCTTTCAATTAAGGTGAAGGGGAATGCAGATTCTCAGGAAGGGCAACCCTTTTCTGTGTGCACTCAGTGTTATGTATTCAGTGGCCTGTGCTTGCCTGAGCTTGAGTCTGGACTAAGGATTCTGAGCTCCTGTGTTCTGATTCGATACATGATGTCCAATCACAGAACATTTCAAGATTGGGGCCTCTGCCATTGGCCCTTGAACTCTGAGTTGTGATTCGCAGCTTGGAAGTTTAGACAGCCAATCACGGGTTGAGTGGGAGTGTCCCAGGCTTTCAGGAATGTATACAGTGATACCTCGGGTTACAACTTACCGTATTTTTCGCTCCATAAGACACACTTTTTTCCTCCTAAAAAGTAAGGGGAAAGGTCTGTGCATCTTATGGAGCAAATATGTGGTCAATTGCTGGCTCCCTTTCCGGCCCCAGCCCCTTGTGCAGGCCTCCATTGCTGAATGTTCAGCAGATGGAAGCTGTTTGTTTCCCCAGCGACATGTGACTGGCTGATTAGATTATCTGTCTAGAAACTGTAGAAACGGCTCCCTTTCCTTTCCTAAAGAAGCTGCAGAATTGTGAGTTGAACCCCATAAAAACAGGATTTTTTCCCTTTGCAAAGCAAGCTCACCAACTTTGAGCTGATCCTCAAAAAAGGGGCTTTTCCCCTTTGCAAAAGAAGCTGCACAACTTTGAGCTGATCCTCAAACAAACGGGGCTTTCCCCCTTTCCTCCTCTAAAAACTAGGTGCGTCTTATGGTCAGGTGCATCTTATGGAGTGAAAAATACGGTAATTCATTCCAGAGGTCCGTTCTTAACCCGAAACTGCTCTTAACCTGAGGCGTGCTTTCGCTAATGGGGCCTCCCGCTGCCGTTGTGACGCTGGCGCATGATTTCCGTTCTCTTCCTGGGGCAAAGTTCACAACCCGAGGTACTACTTCTGGGTTAGCGGAGTTTGTAACCTGAAGTGTTTGTAACCCAAGGTATCCCTGTATAAGCAGTTGTTTTGCCCCTGTTTCCCAGTTATGCAATTCAATAAAGGTTCTTGCTGTTATCGCTGTGTCTTGCCTCTTGTCTTAACACACCCTTCCACCAGCATTTAGCAATTACCGGCAGCGTTCCCCAGCCTGAGCAAGGGAACCCAGGACAATGCGAAACGTTACCTTCTCCAGCAGCTCCACCAGAGGAGGCAGGAGGCCGCAAGTGATGAGCTGCTGTATCTGGCTGCTGGGCCCTGCTGCAATGTTGCTCAAAGCCCAGGCGGCCTCCTTCTGTATGGATGGCTTAGGGTGGTGCAGGAGGTGCGGCAAGACAGACAGCACACCGGCATCGATGGCCATCTGCGTCTGCTCGTCTGTGCCAGTGACGATGTTGCCCAGAGTGCGGAGAGCTGGAGTCTGAAACAAAAAACAAAATGCAGAAAAAGTATAGATTAACCAGGGGTGCTGGAGACGCCACCAGTATTCTGAGCATAACTCACAAATACGGGGATGGGTGGAGGGATTTGTGCATGCGAGTTCCTCTCAGGTTCTCATTTTTCCAATCTTTTAAGTCTGTTTCTCCACACCCGTTTGTGAATTCTTTTTCAGAGAGCCCTCCTTTAAAAATTCACCCACAAATATGTGAATTATTTGAAAAGCAACTGTAATGAACAGATCACGCTGGTAGGACTGCAAGAAATTCTGTAAGGAGGAATATTTGAAATATTGCAAGAAGGACTATGAAGAGAATTATTAGTTAATGATAATTAAGAGTAATAGAGAAATTAAGAAATGCAGAATAAGTGATAAAGAACGGAAAACCATCAGAGGTTGTTGATGGAAGTCTAAAATATTGTATAAGATAAGAAGTTATGTCAAAGGATTGTTGAAAATGATATGTAAAAAAACCAATAAAAATGTATATAAAAATAAAAAAATAAAAAAATTCACCCACATCTTAGTGCTAAGTTCTCTCGATTGACATGCTTTTGCAGGCTATTTTCCCCAATGTAATATATTTTGTGTGTTACGCATACAAAACAATACAGCGTTTCTCAACTTGTGCCACCAGGTGTTGTTGGACTACAACTCCCATCATCCCTGACCACTGGGCCCTGCTAGCTAGGGATGATGGGAGTTGTAGCCCAGCAACAGCTGGCGACCCAAGCTTCAGAAACACTGCGATACATTATGGCATATTTGCATCTTAATACCCCAATATTTGCATTATTGTACTCGTTATTTGGCCGGAGACCTGCATTGTAAAATACAGAGAAGTGCAGGTTTCGAAGCAAGGCTATGTTTCTGTTCCCGTGTTGTTGGGATGTGAACTGAACTGAATTTCTGGCCCATCCCAACAGATGACCTGTGCCATCGAGGGAAAGGGAGAAATATATTTAGCAGTAGCCGGCAACACTATGTGGCACTGCTTTTCCTAAACGCCTCTTACGTGGGTGGCACTGTGGTCTAAACCACTGAGCATCTTGTGCTTGCTGATTGGAAGGTCGGCGGTTCAAATCCCCGCAACGGGGTGAGCTCCCGTTGCTCTGTTCCAGCTCCTGCCAACCTAGCAGTTTGAAAGCACACCAGTGCAAGTAGATAAACAGTTGCCGCTGCGGCGGGAAGGTAAACAGCATTTTCGTGCGCTCTGGTTTCCATCACGGTGTCTCATTACACCAGAAGCGGTTTAGTCATGCTGGCCACAAGACCCGGAAAGCTGTCTGTGGACAAACACTGGCTGATTTGGCCTGTAAAGCGAGATGAGCGCCGCAACCCCATAGTCGCCTTTGACTGGACTTAACCGTCCAGGGGTCCTTTAAAAAGGTAAAGGGACCCCTGACCATTAGGTCCTGTCGTGACCAACTCTGGGGTTGCGGCGCTCATCTTGCTTTATTGGCCAAGGGAGCCGGCATACAGCTTTTGGGTCATGTGGCCAGCATGACTAAGCCGCTTCTGGCGAACCAGAGCAGCGCACGGAAATGCCGTTTACCTTCCCACTGGAGCGGTGCCTATTTATCTACTTGCACTTTGACATACTTTCAAACTGCTAGGTTGGCAGGAGCAGGGACCGAGCAACGGGAGCTCACCCCGTCGCGGGGCTTCAAACCGCCGATCTTCTGATCGGCAAGTCCTAGGCTCTGTGGTTTAACCCACAGCTCCACCCGCTTCCCTCCAGGGGTCCTTTACCTTACCTTTTTTTACCTTTACTTACCAGGACTGGTAGGTCTGCGTAGGCCAGGAGTTGCACCAGCCGCGGCAGCACCCCAACCTCCACCACCACATGGATGCGGTCATTGGAGCCGTCCGTCAGGTAAGAGAAAGCCCAGCTGGCGTCTGCAAGGATGCCCTCATCGTCGTACTGCAGAAGGTTCATGAGCATGGGGAGCATCTGTTGCACAGCTCCCATGGGAGGATATGGGTTTTTGCCTCTGCAGAGGTTGGACAGTGTCCATGTGATGTTGCGCAGGAACCCAACCTGGAAAACCAGAATCATGTCCAAGGAAACCATTGGCTGAAACCAGAGTGGGGAAACAGAACTTCCAAAGACTATAGGGTCATGGATAAGTTCATAGCTGTCAACTTTTCCCTTTTCTTGCGAGGAATCCTATTCGGAATAAGGGAATTTCCCTTAAAAAAAGGGAAATGTTGACAGCTATGCTCTGGAGCTGAGAAGACCGGTTAATCCATGGGTAGCCAAACTAAGGCCCGGGGGCCGAATCCAGCCCAATTGCCTTCTAAATCCGGCCCACGGAAGGTCTGGGAATTAGTGTGTTTTTACATGAGTAGAATGTGTGCTTTTATTTAAAATGCATCTCCGGTTTATTTGTGGGGCATAGGAATTTGTTCTCCCCCCCCAAAAAAAAAATCAAGGTCTGAGGGACAGTGGACCGGCCCCCTGCTGAAAAAGTTTGCTGACCTCTGGGTTAAACCCTTGAGATAACCAGTTAATCCCTTGACCTATGCAGCTGATGAATAGAAGAGGATAGGCTTGAATTAGTGGGAGAGACCTGATTGAAACCAACCCACTGCACCCTTGACTTGGCAAATCATGATTTCCCTCTGGAACGGAGAGGGGGAAATGCAGCAGAAAGGAGGCTCGTCTGCTAAATCTGTCATTCAAGAACTGGCTGGATACAGCCATTGGTAGCTAATGGAAATACAAGCTGGGTGCAAGACATTGCAATTTCTATAGCTATTGCTCAGTAGGCCAGGGATGGGAAGCCTGTAACCCTCCAGATCCTGCTCCAGAGAGCCATATCTATTATCTATCTATCTATCTATCTATCTAACCAGGCGGAAGAAGAAACATACCGGAGTGCAAGGTGTCACCAAGGACAGGAGGGGAGGGATTACATTGAAGCTGATCAGCACATCTCTATACTGTGGGCCGTCACCTACGTAGGATAAAGCATTGGAAATGGTAGTTACTCTCCGGGTGGGTGAAAATAGCGAAACACAGTCATCTCTCCCTGAACCATCCATGGCGGCTGGTTTCCTTTGGCACTGATGGGACAGAGAGGAGGAAGACCAACAGCAGGTGGCGCCAGAGTCAATGCACCTTTTCCATGGTGGCTCCCCACTTGTCAAATGTTCTCCCCAGGGAGGCTCGCCTGGCACCTTCACTACAAACCTTTAGGGTGAAAACGTTTCTCTATAACCAGGCCTCTGGTGGATTGACATATTCTAAGGCCATATATATATATATATATATGCTTTCGTAGATTTTCACGGGTACAGGAATGCAGGTTTTGGTGTCCTCGGGTGTCTTCCCGTGTAAAAGTTGGGGTGTCTAGGCGACGTTTCGACGAGGTCTCACTCGTCATCTTCAGGCTGGTGCTTTCGGCTTCTTGTTACTGGAACAGAGCAGGATCTCAGTGTTTGAGTTCCTATAAATACTGTTGAGGAGGTGTGGTGTATAGCCTCCAATGTTCTGGGCAGAGAGGAAGTTCCCAGGCTAGTGTGCCTTTTCTTCTTTTGTTCCTTAATTACTGGAGGGATATCTGGAGTGATTTCTTGAGTGATATCCTGAGTACCACTTGGGTGGGTCATTAGGTGTGGATTAGTTGCTAAAGCCTTCGTGTCTTGACCTCTTGAACTTGGCTTGAACTTGGCTCTGGCTTGGCTTCGTGTATAGGGGCGAGCTGTGGTTTTGTGGCCTGTGCCAGCCAGATCTGTGTAGGGATTGCAGGGGGGTGCAGCATCCGGAGGTTCCACCATGGTTTGGCTACTGGATGGTGTCTGTAATTTATCTGTGGAGAGGGTCTGGGTTTGGGTCTGGTGTGGTTGATTGGTGATGGCGTTCTGTGTGCCTCTGGATCTGGTGTCGGTTTTTGTGGGGAGGGCTAATTTCCAGATGTCTGGCAAGCGGGATGTGTCGTCACGCTTGTTCATGTTGTGAGGGTGTTTCTCTATCTCGATGGCTTCCATGATTATTCTCTTGTGGTGATGTTCCATGTTAAAGAGCAATTTGGAATCTGCAAAATTAATTTCGTGTCCTGTTTCTTTCATGTGTTGGAAAAGAGAGGAAGTTTGTTAATCGCCAATGGATACCAGCAAAACAGGGTTACGAAGCTAATCCAAAAAGAAACACCCCCCAAAAACCAAGACACAGAAGAAAACAATGGCATGGCCCTCCTTCCTTACATCAAGGGCACTACAGATAAAATTAGCAAAATCCTCCATAAACACAATATCAAAACAGCCTTTTGCACCAACCAAAAAATAGCCAATATCCTCAGAAACCCCAAGGATAGAATCCAGTTGGAAAACCAAGGGGTCTATGAAATACCCTGCAAAGTCTGCCCAGCCACGTACATTGGACAAACAAACAGACGAATAAATGCACGTATCGCAGAACACAAGAATGCCGTCAAAAAAGAGGAAAAAACTTCCTCTCTTTTCCAACACATGAAAGAAACAGGACACGAAATTAATTTTGCAGATTCCAAATTGCTCTTTAACATGGAACATCACCACAAGAGAATAATCATGGAAGCCATCGAGATAGAGAAACACCCTCACAACATGAACAAGCGTGACGACACATCCCGCTTGCCAGACATCTGGAAATTAGCCCTCCCCACAAAAACCGACACCAGATCCAGAGGCACACAGAACGCCATCACCAATCAACCACACCAGACCCAAACCCAGACCCTCTCCACAGATAAATTACAGACACCATCCAGTAGCCAAACCATGGTGGAACCTCCGGATGCTGCACCCCCCTGCAATCCCTACACAGATCTGGCTGGCACAGGCCACAAAACCACAGCTCGCCCCTATACACGAAGCCAAGCCAGAGCCAAGTTCAAGCCAAGTTCAAGAGGTCAAGACACGAAGGCTTTAGCAACTAATCCACACCTAATGACCCACCCAAGTGGTACTCAGGATATCACTCAAGAAATCACTCCAGATATCCCTCCAGTAATTAAGGAACAAAAGAAGAAAAGGCACACTAGCCTGGGAACTTCCTCTCTGCCCAGAACATTGGAGGCTATACACCACACCTCCTCAACAGTATTTATAGGAACTCAAACACTGAGATCCTGCTCTGTTCCAGTAACAAGAAGCCGAAAGCACCAGCCTGAAGATGACGAGTGAGACCTCGTCGAAACGTCGCCTAGACACCCCAACTTTTACACGGGAAGACACCCGAGGACACCAAAACCTACATATATATATATATATATATATATATATATATATATATATATTCTAAATGACATTTCAAAATATTCATTTAAACAATTTTAAACCAATAACTTCCTTTCTTCTCTTTCGGTGGTTCATTTTGTATACCATACATCCCTGCATATTTTACATGAACTATACCATTCAACAGACGCGGGTGGCGCTGTGGGTTAAACCACTGAGCCTCTTGGGCTTGCCGATCAGAAGGTCGGTGGTTCAAATCCCCAAGAAGGGGTGAGCTCTCATTGTTTGGTGCCTGCTCCTCCCAACCTAGCAGTTCGAAAGCACGTCAAAGTGCAAGTAGATAAATAGGTACCGCTCCAGCGGGAAGGTAAACGGCATTTCCGCACGCTGCTCTGGTTCGCCAGAAGTGGCTTAGTCATGCTGGCCACATGACCCGGAAGCTGTATGCCAGATCCCTTGGCCAATAAAGCAAGATGAGTGCCGCAACCCCAGAGTCAGCCACAACTGGACCTAATGGGCAGGGGTCGCTTTACCCTTTACCTTTATACCATTCAACAATCCACCACTGAGCCTCCTGGGCTTGCGGGTTCAAATCCCCGTGACAGAGTGAGCTCCCGTTACTCAGTCCCTGTAGACAAACACCGGCTCCCTCGGCCTGAAAGCGAGATGAGCGCCACAATCCCATAGTTGCCTTTGACTGGGCTTAACCATCCGGGGGTCCTTTATCTTTACCTTTTTCACCTTATTACATCGATCAAAACCTATTTACACTGTTGAATTTATCATAATGCTACTAGTATTTTCAAATGAACACAATCCCCCCCCCTTATGGGACATTCTATGGCCTTTTAAATGTGTTTGTGGAAGGGGCATTATTAGTTTGTTTTTATTGTGTTATTTATTTTGTGTTCTCATTTTGTATTTTTATGTTGTGAACCACCACCCTGCAACCTGCGGTATACAAATCAAATAAATAACAAGAATTGCAACCCTCCCCTACTTCACTTCATTGTGCACCTGGGAAAGCCGTAAGGTTTTCTGCTGCCCAGGCAGGATGGACCAAGAAGTCTCCAAATGAAATTACGTGTGGACCCTAGAACGTTCTGGGCACCCTGTGTTGGGAACCAGTCACAAGAGAACTGGGTTCCAGCATGGGCAAGCGCCCCTTGAACTGGGATTGCCTGCCTTTATGACTGATCTAGCCTGGGATATTGATGGTCTACTACCTGTTGGCTCCCCCAAATGTTGACGGTTTGGCTCTCACTGACCAAGACCCAGCAGTTCATTGGCTGCCATCTTGGAAATCCAAAAGCACCGCCACTTACCTGCTATGTTCCCCAAGGCCCACACAGCCTGCTCACAGATAGGCATCTTTGGAGAAGACAAGATGACTATCAAGCCTTGCACGGCATTGGCCTCCACTACCGCTCTGGTCTGCTCAGGTGTCCCAGAAGCAATGTTAGTGAGCGCCCAAGCAGCCTCCAGCTGCAAGCTTGGAGCGTCGTGGTGATACAAAAAGTCCACGAGTTTAGGAATGACTCCAGTTTCAACGACTTGGTCAATGGAGGGTTCTTATGCTGAGAGAGTAGTTTCCTGCGGATGGGGAGATGGATGAGAGCCTTAATCCACTATTTAGCACAGATCGGCTGACTTCAGGCTTGCAGGACACACTTTTTAAAAACAAACAAACCTCAAGTCCCAATATCCGGCAATCAGAACCATGAGCAAAATAGTAGCTGGCTGAACAGAGTGCCTCCGTAAGGCCAACACAAGCTCAGCCCAGTAATTTGTAATCAGCACCAAAAGAAGTCCATCAATCCTTCCACACTAAATTCCACTTCTGGTTTTCCCTTTCATTGTTTCTGCAGCAATTTAATTTGGGGAGGGGGAGACAGGAAAGCTTTTCAGTTGTAGCTATTGGTAAACTACTCAGAGTCAGAAACCTTCGTTGCTCACCCAGAGAGTTACCAGGGAACTCCCAGTTAACTTCTACTGCTCCAGATTTTGCAATGCCAGTAGAACCACAACAGATTCAAAGGCCAGTGAATACAAAGTCTACATATATAGGAGTTCAAGCTGTGGCTGCACACTGTTGCAGAAAAAATATACATTGGCGGCTTCAAATGCAGTGAGGCAATTTCCCTTGATTCTGTTGGTCCAGGTCCTACCTGCCAGAACAGGATAAAACAAGCTTGCTCCATCTTCCATGTGACAACCCTTTAAATATAGTCTCCTCCTATCCAAGCTAAATATGCCCAACTATCTCAACCGCTCCTCCTAAGGCTTGGTTTCCAGACCCTTGATCATCTTGATCACTCACATCTGCAGCTTGTTAACATCCTTCCCAAATTGTGGCTCCCAGAACTGGACACAGAACTCCACGTGTGGTTTGACCAAGGCAGAATAGAGCAGTACTATGACTTCTTTGTTGGGACGCGGGTGCCACTGTGGGTTAAACCACAGAGCCTAGGACTTGCCGATCAGAAGGTGGGCGGTTCGAATCCCCGCGATGGGGTGAGCTCCCGTTGATCAGTCCCTGCTCCTGCCATCCTAGCAGTTCAAAAGCACATCAAAGTGCAAGTAGATAAATAGGTACCGCTCTGGTGGGAAGGTAAACGGTGTTTCCATGCGTTGCTCTGGTTCGTCAGAAGTGGCTTAGTCATGCTGGCCACATGACCCGGAAGCTGTACGCCGGCTCCCTCGGCCAATAAAGCGAGATGAGCGCTGCAACCCCAGAGTCGACCACGACTGGACCTAATGGTCAGGGGTCCTTTTACCTTTACTTTATGACTTCTTTTAATCTGGACTCTATATTTCTAGTGATGCAGCCTAGAATAGTATTAACTATTTTTGCTGCTGCATCACACTGTTGACTCATGTTAAGCTTGGCGTCTACTAAGACCCCCAGACCCTTTTCACATGTACTACTGGCAAGTCAGGTGTCCCCCATCTTACATTTGTGCATTCCTACCTAAGTGCAGAACCTGACATTTGTCTCTATCAAAATTCATTTTGTTAGTTGGGGCTCAGTTCTCCAATCTTCTAAGATAATCTTTAAGCCTTCCTTTGCGATTTCTCCTTCCTTCCATCTCTCCCTTATTACATCTCAGCTCACCTGTAAGCTTCCTTCGGTTCTGCTGGGTAGCAGACCAGACTGGGGCTCTGCAGCTGTGGCAAGGAAACCTTTGCCCGGCCTTGCCATCCAAGATATTTCAGAAGGCTTACCAATCCCGGCAGAGGCACCAAGGAAGAGCTTAAAACAGTGGCAGCTCACCTGTGGTCCTCCAGATGTTGCTGGACCACAACTCCCATCATGCCTTGCTGGCTGTGAGGTGTAGTCCTAACAATATTCCAAAGGGCACTGGAATTGGGAAAGCGGTGCTAGAAGAATCAGCTTTGCCTTCACATACCTGATGGACATGGTTGCCTTGAGAATAAGATGTTGATCGTCTGATTTCAGTGCCTCAACTATTTCCTCCAAAGGAATTTGAGCAACCTGAGTTAGGGAAGAAGGGAATTATGAATCAGGCATGACAGAGACCACAAGACCAACCTACTGAAAACCCATTTGACCCAGAATCTTGTTCTCAAAGTAGCCAACCAGATGCCTCAATAGAAAGCCAGCAAGAAAGACATGGTCACTTGGGGCATAGAAGAAGAAGAAGAAGAAGAAGAAGAAGAAGAAGAAGAAGAAGAAGAAGAAGAAGAAGAAGAGGAGGAGGAGTTTGGATTTGATATCCCACTTTATCACTACCCGAAGGAGTCTCAAAGCGGCTAACATTCTCCTTTCCCTTCCTCCCCCATAACAAACACTCTGTGAGGTGAGTGAGGCTGAGAGACTTCAGAGAAGTCTCTGACTTGCTTCTGACTTGCCTTTTCTCAGGATCAGTCACAACTGCTACAAGCTTTTCTGGTAAGGAAACTGGCTCCACCCCTTGATCATTTTGGTTGCTCTGGCCAGGAACGACAACAACTGGGTTGCATCCTGATCTAAAGTGGCTGGGTAAACCCAGCCAGATGGGCAGGGTGTAAATAATAAAATTATTATTATTATTATTATTATTATTATTATTATTATTATTAAAGTGGGTTGCAGCAGCAGCCCCATCATCATACAAATATACGGTAGTGGGTCTCCTATTACCTATTTAGACCAAAGTCGGGGGTCACATCTGGAAATTCTGAAGGCTGCTGCTATAGAGCAGGTAGACTAACCAGTGGCCTTCCAGTCCAGATGTGTTGGACTACGACTCCCATCATCCTTGGCCATGCTGGCTGAGGCTGATGGGAGTTTGAGTCCAACTATATCTGCTGTGCCACAAGTTAGCCACTCCTCTCAGAATATACTTCCTCTCAGTTGAGAGGAGATATGATAGCCATCTTCAAATATCTCAAGGGCTGTCACATGGAAGATGGAGCAAGCTTGTTTTCTCCTGCTCTGGAGGGTAGGACTCAAACCCATGGCTTCAAGTGACAAGAAACAAGATTCCAACGAAACATACAGAAAAACTTTCTGACAGTAAGAGCTGTTTGATTGTGGAACAGACTCCATCGGGAGGTGGTGAACTCTCCTTCCTTGGAGGTTTTTAAGCAGAGGTTGGCTGGCCATCTGTCATGGACGCTTTAACTGAGATTCCTGCATTGCAGGGGGTTGGACTAGATCAGTGTTCCCCAACCTTGGGCCTCCAGCTGTTTTTGGACTACAATTCCCATCATTCTTGACCACTGGTCTTGCTAGCGAGGGATGATGGGAGTTGTAGTCCAAAAACAGCTGGAGGCCCAAGGTTGGGGAACACTGGACTAGATGACCCTCGGGCTCCTTTCCAACTCTACAATTCCATGATTCTGTGTGCATACCTGATTCTTCTCTGGTGTGAGGTCATCTTCTGTGCTGACACTGATGTTCCTTCGCTTCAAGATCTGCAGGTCCTTCCTCGCCTTGCGAAGTTCAACTTCCGTTTCCACTCTTTGCCTTCGCATTTCCTAGAAAGGGAGATAGTCAAGTATTGCTAAAAAAAACAAAAGTACAGTGGTACCTCGGGTTAAGTACTTCATTCTTTCTGGAGGTCTGTTCTTAATCTGAAACTGTTCTTAACCTGAAGCACCACTTTAGCTAATGGAGCCTCCAGCTGCCGCCACACCGCCAGAGCACGATTTCTCTTTTCATCCTGAAGCAAAGTTCTTAACCTGAAGCACTATTTCTGGGTTAGCAGAGTCTGTAACCTGAAACGTATGTAACCTGAAGCGTATGTAACCCGAGGTACCACTGTAAGTGTTACAGTCTTGGGGTGGCCGAGATGACAGGGCCAAGTCTCAGGTGTACGCATTGTAGGGCCTTCATCTCAGCAGTCTAATCTAGAGAGGGGCCTCCAACTGTTTTGAAGGGGGGGGGGATTCAAGCCCCTACTAGTAATTCTGGCACCAACTTGAGCACTATGCTGCAACATTCTGTTGCAGTTCCTACTGTCTCAATTATATGGAGATTCCCGGTCTGCAAATTCCATGTGCAAAGCACAAGTTTGCATTTCTGCTCTGCTGCTTCCTAATCCATCAGCCGGCCTAGCTAGAGACTCTTTTCTCAGTCCTGGTAAGATTCTCCATACTTACTAGAAGGTTTTTGCCTCTGTTTTTGAATTTCTGCATCCGCTTCTCTTGCTCACTGGTGACTGGCATCTTCACAGCTGTCTTCAGGAGACACAAAATGGCCGACGGGGCTGCCTTGCACCTAAGGGACCAGAGTCAGATTTCGTTCTGGGTGCTTCCAGACCGTTGCTGGCAGAATTAAATCTGATTTTGTGCTAGAATAACACAGGAAGGTGGTGGATGTTTGGTGGAAGGCAGGGCGAGAGGCGGGGAATGGATGACCTACTGCAATGTGCTCTATATGGGGCTACCTTTCAAGGTGACCCGGAAACTACAACTTATCCAGAATTCAGCAGCTGGACTGGGAGTGGCCACCAAGATCATATAACACCGGTCCTGAAAGACCTCCATTGGTTCCCAGTATGTTTCCGAGCACAATTCAAAGTGTTGGCGCTGACCTTGAAAGCCTTAAATGGCCTCGGCCCAGTATACCTGAAGGAGCTTCTCCATCCCCATCGTTGGACACTGAGGTCCAGCCCAGAGGGCCTTCTGGCGGTTCCCTCCCTGCGAGAAGCCAAGTTACAGAGAACCAGGCAGAGGACCTTCTCGGTGGTGGCATCAGATGTCAAGGAAATAAACAACTATCTGACTTTTAGAAGACGTCTGAAGGCAGCTCTGTTTAGGGAAGTTTATAATGTTTGATGTTTTATTGTGCTTTTAATATTCAGTTGGAGCTGCCCAGAGTGACTGGGGAAACTTAGCCAGATGGGCGGCGTATAAATATCATCATCATCATCTTCATCCCAGGGGGAGAGACTGGGAGAAGAAATGGAAGCTCTCAGGTAAGAGCTGAAAGGGTCCACCACTTTCTGTGCATGATAAGGGAATTACCCTTGAGAGAGGACTATGTATTTTCTTTCTTTCTTTCAGGCTGTCATATGTCTGGATTTTCCCAGACATCACCGGGATTTCAAAGGCGGAATTGGCATCCGGGAAGAATTTCCAGAAGGTGGCACTTTGTCCTGGATCTTAGGCAAGTCAATCAAACAATCGCGGGTTCGGAGTTGTTTGGGTTTTTGTAAAAGAAAAGCTCAAGAATTTTGGGGTTTGTGTACAAAAAGCTCGACAAAACAACAACTTTCAGGGTGTCCTGGTTTTCATATTTTGAAATATTGCAACCCTACTTTCTCTCTCTCTTTTGCTTTTAATTTAGATTAGTTTATTTTAACTTCCTGTATTATGAAAAAAGCTTTCATAAAATCTTATGTAAAATATTTTGTGTTGTTTTTATCACTAACCTGTTATATTCCTTACCTACCCTCCACGCCTTACAACAACTCGAAAAATATAATATTAGATTTCTCTGGAAATGCTTGCAAAAAAAAAAAAAAGTCTTTTGTTTGCAAACAGCCTTAGTGGCTCAACTCAGGTCCTGCAAAAGTAGCTGGAGGGCAGATCCCACCATCCCTGACCTCTGGCCATCGCGTTAATAATAATAATAAATTTTATTTATACCCCGCCCTCCCCGGCCAGAGCCAGGCTCAGGGCAGCTAACACCAATAAAATCGCAGTAAAAACATAATGGGGGGAAAAGAGAGAGGGGGGGAAAGAATTGCATGCAGAAGTGTGTACGCTGGGAGAAAATAGCACTAAAATTGTCAGACTGGGCACTCCTACAGGTACTACATAATACCCGTTTGGCATTTGTAAGAACCTGATCATTTAGTGTAGCAGCACCTAACCTTTGGAACTCCCTGCCTCTTGAGATGATGCAGGCGTCTTCACTATACCCTTTTTGGCGCCTGCTAAAACACCGTATTTTCCCATCTATAAGACGCCCCCATGTATAATACGCCCCCTATTTTTGGGGACTCCGATTTAAGAAAATGGGGGGAGATGTATCTGTGTATAAGATGCCTCCAAATTTTTGACATTATTTTTAAGGAAAAAAACCTAGCCTTATACACAGAAAAATATGGTAACTCCTGTTTAGACAAACCTACCCAGATGCTTAGAATGTCAAGGTAATTTTAATATGTTTTAGCATTTTATCTTTCCTATGTTTTAAAGAAGTTTTGTAAGTTTTTCTTGAATTTACTGTTTTAGATTTTGTAAACCGCTTTGTTTTTGTTTTTCCAATCAAGCGGCGAATACATTTTATGAAATAAATAATAAATAAAACGCTGGTGAATTTTCAGGACTCTTTTTAAAAAATAGAACTTAAGATTGGAAAAAGGAACCTTATAACAAAACAAAAAAATGACAGGAAAAGAGAAGAATCCAGAAATCGAGAAAACTAACTGCCAAATATGAAGTCTCTGCGATGCAACAACTGAAATAGTTAAATCCAGAAACTCGTCATCACCTGTCCTGACAATGTCTCCACAACACACAATCATCTGAATAAAAGAAAACTTCTGTTCAACATGCAAAATGTCCCTATAGTCATATGTTTTAGATGCTGAAATGTCAGCATAAGATGTTCAAAACATTATTTGGATAATTGAAATTCCAAATGCATTTTGGCTTAGGAGTCTTCTCTGGTGGCCTGTTTAGTTATGCAACATCCTTTCTGCATGAGTTCAGCCCAAAACTACAAATAATATTGCTTTAAAAGTGAAATAAAAAAACCAAGTCACCCAATTTTCTCCAGTTGCATAAACTAAAGTCTTCTGCCCCTCAAATCATTGCCTGTGCCAATGTCAAAAGCCTTTATCTCCACTTGGTTCAAGCTTACAAAAATTGGCTATCATCTGTTAAAAACAATATATATAACAGAAAACCATCCCTCTGTACACATACAGAAAAACTTACTAATGTAAACTTCTGAGGCCTACTAGTCAGGAATTTGTCCTATGAACTCATGCAGAAGGACCTCCTATATATTACCAAACCTTATTCATTGCACACCTGACCTTAACATGTTAATCAGGTTCCTACTCCCATTTCTCAGACATTTCCATCCATTCTGTGAAGACTTACAGTGACAGCAATCACCAATCTCTCCCCCTATATATATGAATACAGTGTAATAACCACAACGGCGAGAAGGATGGCACAATTCCTAGGAAGATTGCACCTTCCAATTCTTACACAGCAGACATCCGTTCTATGTTCCCATGGAGTCTGTTACGGTAGGTGCTTCTGTCTTTAATGGTCCACCTGGTTTCAAATAGCCATCAGTGGTTTCCCCCCCCCCTTCAATTATTTTTATTGATTTTCCAAAATTGTAAACAAACAAACAAACAAACAAACAAACATCTTAATTGTACTTAATCTGATCCTAGTAACATTGTTAAGTGACTTCCTCAAATCCCCCTGGCTGGATTTCAGTGTAACAGTTTTCCAAAACCAATTTTCTTATAGAATTAACTTAACCACTTAACATATTTCTTTCTTTTCCTTTTAACTTTAAACATGTCATTCTCTAACATTTCATATTTAAATCCTAAACCTGGATGGTTTCTGGGTAGGAGTTGGTCACGGTGAGGGTTTGCCAAACGTGCCTTCCTCTTAGCACGTTTCCCCCTTTCGTCCTGAGTCCGCGACCAGAAGAAGGAGGACTGGAGGAAATTCAAAGACTACTTAGTTAAATAGGTTAAGATAACTTAATTGGAAAAACTTGCAAATATCAAATAGCCATCAGTGTTGGAGCTGCTGGCACCTGAGAGGAGAGAAGGCCAGGCCAAAGTCAAGGGTGCACCAGGGAGACCACTAGAGGCCATTGGTCCATCCATCCAGCCCACATTTGTTCCACAATTGGTTTTTAAAAGTGTTTGAAACAGCCCTGTTTGAGTGGCCAGGTGGGGGGAAACCCAGGTCAAGGCAGAGGAAAGGGGGGGCAAGGGGAGCGTGCCGCCCCTGGCACCATCGGGGAGGGGGGTACCATTGCGGCCACTCCCCACCGCACCGGCGCCATGCCCCACAGGCGGCACACCACAACCCCATCTGCTCTCTGCTCCCGGGTGCCAAAGCATGCAGCTCTGCCACTGACCCAGGTGGGGCTTTTGCCCCTTTAATAAAGCTGTGTAGCAGAGGGAAGGTCAGGAAAGCTGGTTTGGCAAGATGTAGCATGTTAAAGCTATGGTTTTCCCAGTGGTGATGTATGGAAGTGAGAGCTGGACCATAAAGAAGACTGATCGCCGGAGAATTGATGCTTTTGAATTATGGTGCTGGAGGAGACTCTTGAGAGTCCCATGGGCTGCAAGAAGATCCAACTTCTCCATTCTGAAGGAAATCAGTCCTGAGTGCTCATTGGAAGCTGAGGCTCCAATACTTTGGCCACCTCATGAGAAGAGAAGGCTCCCTGGAAAAGCCCCTGATGTTGGGAAAGATGGAGGGCACAAGAAGAAGGGGACGACAGAGGACGAGATGGTTGGATAGTGTTCTTGAAGCTACCAGCATGAGTTTGACCCAACTGTGGGAGGCAGTGGAAGACAGGAGTGCCTGGCGTGCTCTGGTCCAGGGGGTCACGAAGAGTCGGACACGACTAAATGACTAAACAACAACAAGCATGTCTTCTGCAACTGCAGTTCAGTGGGCTGGCTATACCAGCTGAGATCCCCTCTTCTGCCCTACTATTAAAGGTGCAGCAGCCCTGTTCTTTTTTGCTAGACCTCTTGAGATCCCCATTTCAACCCAGCTATTAAAGGTGCAGGAGCCCTCTGAAGGAGCCTTTGGCAACCCTAGATTTATTTATTTTCATGGAGTCAGGGGTTGGGTCAGGAGCTGGATTTGAGGAGAAGGGGTGACTACAGGCAGTGAAAAAAAAGGGAAAGGTATGGGCAAATCAAGATGGTGACAGCAGTCACGAAATTAAAAGACGCCTGCTCCTTGGGAGAAAGGCGATGGCAAATCTAAACAACATCTTAAAAAGTAGAGACATCACCTTACCAACAAAGGTCCGTATAGTTAAAGTCATGGTTTTCCCAGTAGTGATGTACGGAAGTGAGAGCTGGACCATAAAGAAGGCTGATCGCCGAAGAATTGATGCTTTTGAATTATGGTGCTGGAGGAGACTCTTGAGAGTCCCATGGACTGCAAGAAGATCAAACGCATCCATTCTTAAGGAAATCAGACCTGAGTGCTCACTGGAAGGACAGATCGTGAAGTTGAGGCTCCAATACTTTGGCCACCTCATGAGAAGAGAAGACTCCCTGGAAAAGAGCCTGATGTTGGGAAAGATGGAGGGCACAAGGAGAAGGGGACGACAGAGGATGAGATGGTTGGATAGTGTTCTCGAAACTACAAACATG